TATATATATATATATATATATATATATATATATATATATATATATATGTATATATATATATATATATATAGCTTAGGATTACAGTAACCTACCGCATAGGTTATAATTTACTTTAATAAGTCAGAATTCAGACTTATGAAGACAAAATGACTTGATATAAAATTGAAATTGACTTAAAAAGTGAATATTAAGACATAAAATGTTATGGCTTGAAAAGTTGAAATTATGACTTAGCTAGTCAAAACTATAATAAAATTAAAACTGTGATTCAAAACTATGAGTCGAAATTATAGCACTGAGGAGCTCACAGCACCCTTTGCTAATCCTTCCTTTCTCTATGTTCTTCTGTCAATAATCTCCAGCATCCTGCGTAATAAAAGATGGAAAGTCTTTCCACTGATAGAAGTATTTAGAAGAAGTATCTAACTGTAATATGAGCTGTATTTCACCGTAGGACAGGTATGCGGTATGTTGCTGCATTTTAAAGTTGCATCGTTATAATTACTGTGTATTTTACAGCAAAGATATACATACAATACTGTAAATACATACATATACAGCAAGATAAAAGTGTGCTGTAAATGTAAATACAGTATTTCTGCTGTAACTGATTTAAAGTAATTTACAGGTGAACTAAACTGTAATGTGATCTGTGCTTTACTGTAGGACAGCTATGCAGTATGTTGCTGTATTTTAAAGCTGCATTGTAAAAATTACTGTATATTTACAGCAAAAATATACAATACTGTAAATACATATACAGCAAGATAAATCGAGCTAAGATACTGTAATACATATGCATATTTGTGCTGTAATTGATTTACAGTAAGTTACTGGCGAACTGCTGCCAGTGAGTTACTGTAGTTTCTACAGGAAACTGTTAACAGTGGATTGCAATGTCAGTTTTTTTCCATTAGGGAGCATCCACAGCTCTGCTCATTGCTCCTCTCAGCTCAGAGTTTCGGGAACGCAGCTGATGTTTCCGTGTGGAGCTCCATTGTGCGGCGGCCGGGCGGAGGGCCGTGATTGGCTCCTGACGCTGCAGCGGCTGGTGCTGGAGCTCTTGCGTCTGCTGACGGCGGCGCTGCCGTCCGACTCCATACGAGTGACCGTGAACACACTGCTCTGCCGCTGCTGCTGGAAACGAGCCGTCTGGAGCTCCAGCTCATCACAGTTCGACATCTGAATGAAGGGACACCAGCGAAACACCCGCTTGAACCCGGCGCGGAACCTGCAGCACAAACAGAGCCAAAACTATTGTAAGATGGGATTTAATAGGACACTTCTGCAAGCTGTGTAGGTATAATGTGTCCACTGTCATATTGGAGTGATAGAAACACAGGTGTCTTTTTTTATTTCCTGCCATAAAGGGCTCCTATTTTACCTTTATCTTTTACAAGATAAAAGATAAGTCTTTGGTGTCTCCTGAATGTGCCTGCAAAGTTTCAGCTCAATATACACATCAGATTATTTATTATACAATGCTGATAATGCCCATTTTGGAGTCAAAGGAAAGTGTTGCTGTTTTGGTAGCTTGTGCCTTTAAATGCAAATTAGCTGGAGCTCCGCCCACCCTGCTGCCTGTTATGTCATATAAACAGCAGTCAGTGACAGTGACAGCGACAGACACGGATGAAACAGAGATACAGTTATTCATTCATTCATTCATTTTCTTGTCGGCTTAGTCCCGGGGCCAACTTATCAAGCAAGTTTTTACGCAGCGGATGCCCTTCCAGCCGCAACCCATCTCTGGGAAACATCCACACACACATTCACACATACATTCATACAATATGGACAATTTAGCTCACCCAATTCCCCTATAGCGCATGTGTTTGGACTGTGGGGGAAACCGGAGCACCCGGAGGTAACCCACGCGAACACAGGGAGAACATGCAAACTCCACACAGAAACGCCAACTGAGCCGAAGCTCGAACTACCTACTGTGCCACTGCCTTGCCCTAGAGATACAGTTTATGAGTCAAATAGCAAGTAAGGTTATTTGAAGTATCTGTGGTGGAGTTAAACGTCCACAAACTGGGAAGTGTTTGTCGTGTGTTTGAAGCATCTGACTTTATGCAGCCGTGGTGATTCCAGTGATTATGAATTACAGTGATTTTACTGTCCTTATTGCGAACATGCTCTGTTTTTAAAACCGTTTTAAACTTGTAAAAGTCATTGTTGAGGTGCAGCTGATCACAGAGAGTTGAACAGATCTTTTAATCCCAGTTTCTTTGCAAATCCTGTTCTGTGGACATGTTTAAACTAGTGTTGTCAATCGATTTAAAAAAATTAACTAATTAATCGCACTTTTAAAAATAAAATTAATCGTGATTAATCACATTTAGAATGAAACTTGTAATTTTGGCTTTTTAAATGTAAAATAATGTAAACGCAAGACAAAAACTGTTTAAATTCAAAATATAATTGTTTATAAGAATTTTTGTTCATCTTGTAACACAGATTTCTTTATGTAAACAACAAACCCACAATAAACCATCAAGATCCTGGCTTGACAGCCATATTTAATACCGAAATTAAAACACAGGCATGTTAATGCCATTTGAATTTTAAAACAATCAATGCCAGTAAAGAAAACATTCATTTCCATGTTGGATTTTAAGTGAACTGCAAAAAAATGCCAAAATACAGGCATTGCAGATATGGAAAATGGAAAATTGTAATAATAATAATAACGTACTGAATACAAAAAATTGCACTCATTGTAAAGTTGTATTGCTTTGAGCTGAATTGTCCTCCTTTACATGCAGTCAGTTGCTAAAACAGTCCAGTTTGTTGACATTATCGGGGGACAATGTGGACCTTTTCTTTTGAATGATGTGAGCTGAGAGAGCAACGCAATTTCACGGCAAGTCGTAACTTTTTGATTTAGTGCGCACACGCACAGACACACACACACACACACACACACACACACACACACACACAAAGAAAGAGAGACGCGCGCAGGACAGCGCAGCCAGAGTGACTTCCTTCAGATTCAACACGCATGATCGCGTTCATTAAATTTGCTTAAACTAAGCATTCTAAAGTATGGCTGTATTTAACGAGGATTCTGACAACAACGTGAAGCATACGCTTGCTTTTAAGGGGGAAACAATTCCCTGAAAGAAAGAGCCGAACTGCAGTTAAAGTCCACCATTTAATAATTTGGCAAATAATTCGACTACAGATGTCCATGTAAACACAGTCACATTGTCCCCTGTGTGTGTGTGTGTGTGTGTGTGTGTGTGTGTGTGTTTTGACTCTGAAAGTCAGCGCGCCCAAATAGACACTCCCACACCATCCCTCTTTTCTTCCTCCGACACTCCCCCCTAAACAGAGCTGGACACGCCCACTTTTCTGACTTTTTCCAAAGTAGAGGTGTGAAAACATCCTGCTGAAACGAGGGGCTTTCATGGCCATTTAAGAGAAAAAAGTGCCAGAGCCAAAAGCTGCAGTCCAGTTTAGTCTCTTCCTTGACAATGTGACCAAAGCCCAAATACTAAGATATGCAAACTAAACATTCAAGCTTTGATGGTTTTGTTATTCTCTGTCTTCTTCAAAGAAGATAAAGAAAGAGAAAATATTGAGTTCATCCAATCCACTGCACAGAGAGGAAAGCAGTTCACCTCCTTATAAAAGAGCTGCGTGGGATTATCTCGAAATGCACAGTTTCTGTCAGGAAATCAGCGATGTTTTGATACTGTGCTTGTAATACTGCATAACACATATTTCTATAAGCAATTTCTAAACAGCCTTAAAGTCTATCCTTTCCTGGCAGTACATTAAAGGTAATGACATACAGACACACACACTTGCCAAATAGCAGCATGACAAAAGTGCATGGCAGGCACTGAATCCAGCATACAGTAGTCTACAGCAGTGTTTCTCCACCATCCACCATATTGTGCCTTCATTTTACACATTTTATTTAATAATAATAATAATAATAATAATAATAATAATAATAATACATTTTATTTAAAAGGCGCCTTTCTAGCAACTCAAGGACACCGTACAATCAACAAGAGCAATAAAACAACAAGAGCAATAATAAAATATACACAGCAATAGTGCAGATAAAATTAAGTATTAAAAGCCATCTTAAATAAGTGGGTTTTGAGTCTTGATTTGAACAGTGTGAGGGAGTCAATGTTTCTGATGGCAGGTGGTAGTGAGTTCCAAAGCCGCGGAGCAGAGCGGCTGAATGCTCTGTTGCCCATAGTTGAAAGGCGAGAAGAAGGAACAGACAAGTGGAGAGAGGAAGAAGATCGCAGGGTGCGAGAAGGAACAGAAATGTGGATGAGGGCAGACAAATATGGAGGGGCGAGATTGTGGATGGCTTTGAATGTTAACATCAAGATTTTAAAGTCAATTCGAAAATGAACAGGTAACCAATGAAGCTGCTGCAGGACAGGGGTGATGTGATGAGAAGAAGGAGTTCTGGTGATGATACGGGCAGCTGAGTTCTGGACCAACTGAAGCTTACGGAGAGATTTATGAGTGAGACCAAAGAGAAAAGAGTTGCAGTAATCTAAATGAGATGTGACAAGGCTATGAACGAGAACAGCAGTGGCATGAGGGATAAGAGAAGGGCAGAGACGGTTAATGTTGCGTAGGTGGAAGTAAGCAGACCGGGTGATGCTATTGATGTGAGAATCAAAAGACAGGATGCTATCAAGGATGACACCCAGACTCTTAATCTGTTTAGAGGGATAAATGGAACAGTCGTCAATTGAGAGAGAAAAGCTGTCAGTTTTGGAGAGTGTTGATTTGGTACCAACAAGCAAAACCTCAGTTTTTGAACTATTTAGTTTGAGGAAGTTAAGAGAGAGCCAGGACTTGATTTCTGCTAAGCAGTCTGCAAGGGATGTAGGTGGAAAACAAGAAGAGGGTTTGCCAGAGATATCAAGCAAGCAAATATTTACGGAGAATATTACCGAGTGGAAGGAGATAGATGATAAAAAGTAGGGGCCCCAGGACTAAGCCCTGGGGAACACCCGAAGAAACTGTAAAATGCTGAGAAGTGAATGATTTGAGTTGAATGAACTGAGTGCGGCCAGAGAGATAGGATTTAAAACAGTCAAGTGGGGTATTAGTGATGCCAAGAGTGGATAGTCTATTGATGAGGGTGCTGTGAGAAATAGTGTCAAAGGCCGCACTCAGGTCTAGGAGAATGAGAATAGATATTTGTCCAGAATCAGCTGCCATGAGAAGGTCATTGGTGATTTTAATCAGGGCAGTTTCTGTGCTGTGGAGTGGGCGGAAGCCAGACTGGAACTGTTTATTTGTAATAAATTGCGAGTAACAGCATTCTGAGATTTGTCTCTCTATGTGTGGTGGCTCTGAACTGTCAAAACACCTCTCAAAACACTTTTTACGCATGTTAAAAACGTGGGAAAACTTTCAGGCGGTGTGTAAATGCAGTTGACACAATGTGCAAGCTACCAGCCTAAATTTGTGTGTGTGATTGAATCTGTAGATCTGAAGCTGACCAATCAGAAAGACAGATTTGCAGCACTGCATGACAAGATCGTCAGTAATGACAGTTTACAGCAGATAAGGTTATAAGTCACCTTTGTTACATGGATGTCTGGAATACTCCATTCTGATTGGTCAGTCCTCTACATAAGCTCTAGATGTGTTTGTACCTGCTGTTGAGGCAGCAGTAGATGATGGGGTTGTACATGGAGGAGCTCATGGAGAGCCACAGCACTGACAGATACACCTGCTGGATCCACTTGAACCTCCTCAGCGCTCGGTTGAAGCTCGTCACGATGAAATACACGTGGTATGGGAGCCAGCAGATGGCGAACGTCACCACCACGATCACCATCATCTTCACAACCTACACACAAAACACACACTGATGGCTACAATACTACAGCTACTTTAAAGAGAGTGTCAACTACATCACAGGGCTCTAGTTTAAAAAACTGTGTGTAGAAACCATCCTAAAAGTGAACGGCAGAATAAATTGTAATTATTACGGCTCATATAATGATTTAAAGAGGTTTTCCCCGCCCACAGATATTGATTTCTGTGCTGATGATTTAAAGTGGGTCAATGGGGTATATGCAAGAGGACTTTTAATTTGAAAATATACTGTGTTGCAATATTGATGTTGCAAAAGGAACCGTTTCAATTGAAAATAGTTACATAAACCGTTCACTGAAAGTTTATCGATGGCTAAACAACTCTTGTGAACAAAATGTGTTAAAGGGACCATCAAGATAAAGTAATAATCTATTATTTTTTTCAATTTAAAGATGTTTATCCTGCAGCCCACGGTTGAAAAGAGCTTGATTGACCTTCCTCTTGGCCTGCAGGTGATCCAGGAGGTTTTCTGAAGAGTGTCCTGGGAAATCTCCACCCCACAACGTCAGTCCGACTCGGCTGTAGGTCACAGCCATCAGTGCAAGTGGAAGGAGATACACCAGCAGTGCCACAACCACATGATATCTGCCAACACAGACACACAGAGATGAGCAGAATACCCTCAGTGATGCCACAGCTGTGGCTTTCTGCACAGTCTCTAGATGCTAATAACAGGTATTCTTATTAAGCCAGTAAAACAAGCTGTTATATTATTGGTATGACTTATACCCTGCTGACAAAAACAGTATAAAATGTATATGACCAGAAAGTAACTAGCTTAGGACCAGGCAAGAAAACAGCTTAAACCAACAAAAACCATTTTAAACCAGCTCACAGCCAGATAAGGAACAGCAACAAACCATCTAAAAACAGCTAATCACTAACAAGAACCAGCTTAAGACCACCAAGAAGCCAGCTTCAAAAAGTTAATGACCAACAAAAACTAAATTAGCATCAGCCATGAACCAGCTTAAACCAGCTAATGACCAACAAGAACCAGCTTAGGACCACCAACAAGCCAGCCTAAAAAAGTAAATGACCAACATAAACCAGATTAGCATCAGCCACGAAACAGCTTAAACCAGCTAATGACCAACAAGAACCTGCTTAGGACCTGCTCATGACCCAAAACAAACCATCTTAATCCAACTAATGACAAGGCCAGAACCAACTTAGGTCCAGCAAAAACAGCTTAAAACAGCTCATGACTAACAAGAACCAGATTAGGACCAGCAAAGGACAAGCAGCTTAGAAAAAGCAACAAACTATCTTAAACCAGCTAATGACCAACAAAAACCATCTTAAGACGACCAACAAGCCAGCTTAAACCAGCTTATGACCAACAAAAACCAGCTTAAGACCAGCAAAGAAAAAACAGCTTAGGACTCATAACAAACCATCTTAAACCAGCTCATGACCGACAAGAACCAGATTAGGACCAGTAACAAACCATCTTAAACCAGCTCATGACCAACAAGAACCAGATTAGGACCAGTAACAAACCATCCTAAACCAGCTCATGACCAGCAAGAACCAGACCAGCTTAGGACCAGTAACAAACCATCTTAAACCAGCTCATGACCAGCAACAAACCATCTTAAATAAGCTTGTGACGGCAACAAACCATCTTAAACCAGCTCATGACTAATAATAAACCAACATAAACCAGCAAAAAACATCCTAAATCAGCTCATGGCCAACAAGGACCTGCGTAGGACCAGCATGACCAACATGAACCAGCTTAGGACCAACAAAAACCAGCTTAAACCAACTCATGACCAACAAGATCTAGCTTAGACCAGCAAGAACCTTAATCATCTTAATCCAAATATTGACCAGCAAGAACCAACTTAGGTCCACTAAAAAAACTGCTTAAACCAGCTCATGACCTACAAGAACCAGCAAAAAGGAAGCAGCTTAGAAACAGCAACACACTATCATAAACTAGCTAATGACCAACAAGAACTAGCTTAAGACCACTGACGAGCCAGCTTAAACCAGTATAAGACCAACAAGAACCAGCTTAAGACCAGCAAAGAAGAACCAGCTTACAGCGTAACCATCTTAAAAACATCTAATGACCTACAAGAACCTGCTTAGGACAAGTAAAGAACCAGCCTAAACCAGCTCATGACCAACAAGAACCAGCTTAGGAGGAATTAAGAACCTGCCTAAACCAGTTCAACAAACCGGCTTAAACTATTGCATGACCTGTGACAAGCCAGCTTAAACCAATTCATGACCAGCAAGAACCAGCTTACAGTCCATTCACACGGGGCTTCAGCGTCAACGCTTGACCGTGGGCGTGTCTGAACTTGGGGTTGACACAATCATCATAGCAGCATCAGCCAATGAAGTAAGTCTGCAATCAGCTACAGTCTGAGCTGGGGTATTTTCATAAAGCAATTTGATTGGCTGACGCTTCCACTGGCCCTTAAAAAGTTGAGATTTTCCAACGTCTGCAGCAAGAAAAGCCCAGTGCTGACGGATCCTCAATGCAGTTCGGCAATGCCTGACATCACTGATTCAAAGTGAAAGGGAAGCGCTGACGCTGACGCCCCGTGTGAATGAGGCGTTAGGAGCAACAAAGAATGAGCTTAAACCAGTTAAAACCAGCTCATGAGCAGCAAAGAAGCAGCTTAAACTAGCAGGCACTGCTCACATGAATGCGTCGTCATCTTTTCTCGGCCAGGCCACATAGCAGACAGTCCTGTGTGGCAGAACTTCAGTGACGGAGTAGAAGCAGAGAGGAAATGACAGAAACGCCGCCAGAATCCACACACAAACAATCACCGCTTTCGTGACCTTCGCCGAGAGCCGGGGCTTCATGGGGTGGATGATCGCCATATACCTGACCAAACACACAGAGAGAAAGAACTGAACTGGAACAAAACATTTACATTTTTCATTCATTCATTTTCTGCGGCTTTTCCGGGACCGGGTTGCGGGGGCAGCAGTCTTAGGAGAGAACCCCAGACTTCCCTCTCCCCAGACACTTCCTCCAGCTCCTCCGGGGGGATACCGAGGCGTTCCCAGGCAAGCCAAGAGACATAGTCCCTCCAGCGTGTCCTGGGTCTTCCCTGAGGCCTCCTTCCAGTGGGACATGACTGGAACACCTCCCTGGGTAGGCGTCCTAGAGGCATCCGAAACAGATGCCCGAGCCACCTCAGCTGACTTCTCTAGATGTGGAGGAGCAGCGGCTCTACTCCCAGCTCCTCCCGGGTGTCAGAGCTCCTCACCCTGTCTATAAGAGTGCGCCCTGCCACCCTGTGAAGGAAACTCATTTTAGCCGCTTGTATCCGAGATCTTGTCATTTCAGTCATGACCCAAAACTCATGACCATAGGTGAGAGTAGGAACGTAGATTGACCGGTAAATCGAGAGCTTTGCCTTTCGGCTCAGCTCCTTCACCACAACGGATTGGTACATTGACCGCATTACTGCTGCCGCTGCACCAATCCGCCTGTCAATCTCACGTTCCATCCTTCCCTCACTCGTGAACAAAACCTGTTCACAATAACCTGGAACAATACTTGTCAGTTTTCGATATTAGGGTCACGGTTTTGTTATGGTTCCGTATATGATACATTTAGTTAAAAAACTGTATAATATGAGCAATATACCACGAGTAGCAGTGCGATATGGCTGTATATTGGGTCTGGAGGAAGCGTGCATTGGCTAGTGTGTAATATGCTATGAGTGTGATATTGTGTTGATGCAATAGTTTGACGGCATATTCGTGTATATAAAAAAGAAAATCAAACACGAAGAGTCTCAAAACCCATTTGTATGAGGAAATACAACTAATATTATAGTCAATATTATAGAACTTCTTCCACCATTCATACACATCTGCAGCTGACGTCAGGACAGCAGAAGCCACCTGGGGTAAGGACTTTCCTCCAACTTCTCTCGAGTAAAACTTCTCTCCGATTCTCTACAGTAAAAGTTTTTTACCAGCTATGTTTATATCTAAAGATGTGAATTTGATTTATGCACAAAACGGTAATACTGTTATATTAAACTGTAGTTATTCAAATATTTGTGATCAAAGCAGCGCTTCCACCTAATAAAACTGATTTAAAGAATCAAAAAGAACAAAATGAAGATGATAGCTAAAATGTTGTAACGTTGCAAAGTAACATTGTAAAATCTGTAAACTTTATTTAATGTATTATAAATCTATTCTTAATACATTTTTATGCCTTAACATAAATAATGTGCCTAGTTAAGTATCTAACAATGCATTATTACAGTTTAAAGAGGAGCTATTGAGCAAAAAACACTTTTATAAGGGGTTTAAACAGTCGTGTGTCAGCAGTCTGTAAATATATCTATATTCTAATGGTAAACATAAATTAATTAAATTTGTTATAATCAGACTTGAAAAAAACAGACTGCAGAAACACTTTGATTGACATTCTCCTTTTGTACATGTCATCAGAGAAAGCCCCGCCCACTAGTGACCATCTCTACCTCATTACCATAGGATAGTCTTGCTTTTGAATCTGCCACTATGCTGACACAGAAATTTGTAGCTCCGCCCTCAGAGCGCAGTCTTATTTGAATTTAAAGCGACAGTCACCAAAACAACACAACTAGGATCAAAGTCTAAAAGGGAGTCAGAAAACATTTTATATGGGGTATCATGAGTTGGAACATCAGAGAATAGTTTTACTTATTTTTCAGTGACTTTAGTTACTTCCCTTTAGTTTGACTTTTTATTTATTGTTAATTATTTAATTTAAAAAACAAAAACTGTACTAAAATAAATAACATTGTACAGTAGAAAACAATACGTCCCCACAATTCATTTAATTCAAGCATATGTGTGTGCACTGAAATCATATTAATTGGATTGACAGTTATTTTAAGGTAAGTGGTTGCAAACAATTTAAATGGGCTGAAATGAAACAAATTAAGTTGAACATTACCCCATGTCATTTGTTTAAATTCAGCTCATATAAATATTTTGAAACCACTTAAATTAAAACTTTAGTAAATCCTAATAATATTTTTTTCAGTGTGTGTGTTACCTGTCCAGGGCGATGGCACTCATAGAGTAGATGCTGGCGAACACGGCGGCCACCGGGTAGAAGTTCTGGAAGCGGCAGTAGGCGCTGCTGAAGTACCAGTGCCCATGCGCGCCGTACACGAAGTTCACCAGCGCGTTCAGCGCGGCCACACACACGTCCGACACCGCAAGATTTAAAAGAAAGTAGTTAGTGACGGTCCTCATCCGCTTGTGTGCCACAATAATCCAGATGACGATCAAATTCCCGGTAACGGCCACCAGCAGCACCAGAGCAAACGCCACAGACCACAACGCGACGCGCCATGGCGGCTGCACGAACCGGTTGATGTGCGTAAAGTTGGAGGAGTTTCTTGGAGAGGACATGATTATCTGAAGACCCCAGTCTGACTGACTCTCTCTTTCTCCCTCCGTGTATGTGTGTGTGTGTGTGTGAATAGTTTCTACAGGGGCGGATAGTTTGTCAAACAGCATAAATCAAATCGCATTTACAGTGCATGAACACTTCTGAAATGATTCATCTTTATTTGCGTATATCGCTTCCGTTTAATCTACTTCAACGGATTTCTTTACTCTCATGATTTACACACTAAAAAAATGATAAAAAAATAATTCCTTGGATTCACAAAAAAAAAAAATTAAGTTAAGAGCTTTGTAAACAATTTATTTGGGCTGAAATTAAACAAACAAGTTAAGTTGAATATTACAAAATTTAATTTGTTTAAATTCAACACAAATAAAATGCTTTTTTTTCATCAACAATTGTGCAGACAGCATTTTTTTTCAGTGCAGAAGACAGCAAAAAAAAAAAAAAAAAAGTAAGGTAACTGGTGGCAAACAATTTGTATGGGCTTAAATTAAACAATTTAAATGTAGTCATGTTTGTAGTAACTTAATTTGATGGTTTAATTTCAGCCAATAAATTGTTTGCCAGCACTTACCTTTAAAAAAATTGTGTAAATGCAATGAATCATGCACTGTAAATGCAATTTAATTAATGCATTAATTATACAAGCTCTGGGACAAATGTACTCATTAATGGACTATTATGGTGCTTTGTTATGAGCCCTCCCAATCAACTCAAAATATTATCCACATAACTTTCATATTTCATTCTGTACCATGTTGGAGATGCAGCAGGACAGTAAACAGTCGTTCACGAGTCATGCAGAGAAATCTCCTCAGGTCTTTGGATAATTCTACATTCAGAAGTTATGTCCAATCACAGGTTTAATATAATGTGGAAAATATGATTTAAATGTTTTCCAGTAAAGTCATTTAAACATCTTTACCTAAGCCTCTTGATGGTTGGTCTCTCGCATCTGCAAGGCCTATGAAGATTTACATTCTTCTCTTACTACCCAGGCACAGAACGTCAACATGATGTCAGATTGGGGATGTTGCATTTTGTTTGGAAAGGAAAATTGGGTTGACGTCAGAACCCAACCTCAGGCCGACGGTCCGCTGTAAAATTGTCAAGCATTGACCGGTCCGCGGTGATAAAAAGGTTGAGGACCACTGTTACAGAGTTTATATGGACCAGTGTTTCTCCTTCATGAACATGTAAGTTTAATTAAAATTGTTGCCTCGTTTTCTGTAATTTGCAAAATATGTATTTGATTGTGTTGTTATTTTTAATCTCTCTGCGTGGCTTGTAATCTTGTATATTTTATAGATCAGTGCTTGTACTGTATCTCTCAGGTTAAATCTGTATGGGCTGTTCACATATTTGGTCCAAAACCATGTTGAAACGCGACACGTGCTTCTTCGTTTTCAGATTCCCTGTTGAAAAATCCTGCTTAAACCAGCCAAGGCTGGTTGGCTGGTTTTAGCTGGTTGACCAGCCTGGTTTTAGAGGGGGTTTGGCCATTTCCAGGCTTGTTTCCTGCCATGTCCAACCTGTTCTTAGCTGGTTAGGCTGGACAATGACCAGCTAAATCCAGCTAAAACGAGCTTGATTAGCCTGGTTTAAGCTGGACATAGCTGGTTTTGGCTGGACTCCTAGCCTGGCTAGGCTGGTCAAGCTGGTTTTAGCTGGTCATCTCCCAGCCTGACCAGCTAAGACCAGGCTAAAAATGGCTGGAAATCAGCCTGGAAATGGCCAAAACCCCTCTAAAACCAGGCTGGTCAACCAGCTAAAACCAGCCAACCAGCCTAGGATGGTTTAGGCTGGATTTTTCTGTAGGGTTTAAATGCGTTTTGGGCTCGGAATCTCTGTGTTTGGGCTCGGGGGAGTTTTCCAGGAGAAATAACAAAATGGGAGGGTGGCGGGAGATAGGTCTGAAACACGGGAGACTCCTGGGAAAAGCGGGAGTGGTTGCAGGTATAACTCTGAACTCTTCATAACCATGGTGGACCTTTCTCTCTGTCTCATGCTAAACGCAATCGACCAATCACAATAGACTGGGGCTGCGTCCGAAACTGCCTACTACTCAGTAGGTACTGCATTTCAGTCATAAACGTACTACTCTGCCGTTAGAAAAGTATGCTCTATACAGTATGAATGTGAAAAGTATGAATGGAATTCGGACGTACTACATCCGGCATTTTGTCATGGTCACATGACCTACCTGCGTCAGTTGCGTCGCTTCAGTCCCATTCATGAATTCTCTCGCGGGGCATCATGGGATAGCACAGTGTGCATGGAATGCGCACTTCAGAATGTCGCAGGAAGTAGTAAGTCATCCGGGTACTTCTCGCATTCTGATTTTCGAATTCTATGAATTCAGACATACTACTCGTCTCGCATGCTGATTTTAGCGTACTGTATAGTATGGAAGTACGCGGTTTCGGACGCAGCATGGGTCATCTGACCAATCAGCGCAGATTAGCTTCACACTAACTATATGTTCACACCGAAAGCGGCGAGAGCGTCAAAGTAGCCGGAAGTCATTCATTTTCAATGAGAGCCAGCAGCAATAAGCGGCGAGGAGCAGAGCGGCGTGTCTTCGCCGGTGTGCGCGTCGAGGAGAGTTGAAATGAAGTCAACTTTATAGTAATGAGCTATGACGCGGTTTGGCGGCAAGCAATCAGAATAAAGACGTCCACCGCTTGATAGCAGTTCAGAGAACACAGAGCTGTGAACTTTGGTTCCGACTATAGTTGTTCCCAAGGGTTTGATTATTGCGGTCGCCGGATTTTCAATTATTTACAATGTTTTCCTACAGGAACATGCATTAAATAACCTACTGATGTTCATTCATGTTATATAAATTTATCTTTAAAAATTAATCTCACGCGATGTGAAAGTACAAAACAGTACTGCTGCTTCAGGATATTTCAGACATATGGACACATACTGGATAAATAGAGCAAAGCCACACCACACGCAACTTGATCTTCCATTGTTGTATGAATTTGATAAGAAGTGCGCAACATTTTCACGCTAGAAACATGTCTTATGCAGGAATGTAACTGATTTGCTGCAACGGCTCCTTTAAATACGAGATCAATGTAGCGAGTTTTGACGCTCTCGCCGCCGGAGCTGAAGGCAGACAGCGTTGTCGCCAGGGCGGCCAGAGCGACCTTGGACGCTCTCGCCGCTTTCGGTGTGAACGTACGGTAAGGAGGGTTTTGGGAACAAATGAATCGCTAAACAAATCATACAGGAGTCGCTGGGATAATCAGGTAAAAATAAACGCATATTTTAAGACCATGAAAGTGTTTTTTGACCTTGCACGCAGATCAATTTATTGTTGGAGACCAAAATATGAACATGTATAATGCATAACAGGAGCTCTTTAAATATGAATTGAATAATAAATAGAACATATAAAATATCCCAAACACTAATAAATGAAACTAGTTTACTTGCTCAGGATAAAGCTGGATCACCATAGTCAGACCGGATAAACAAGGTGATGGATAGAAATCTTTAATGCACATTTTTACACAAATGTAAACTGTACAGAGCATTTTTACAGCATTAAAAACATAGTACATCAGAGTTTACTGCTTCATGTGCACAAAATCAGTAGAAAAATAGTTCTTAAAAAAGCAAAACAGACGGAATGTTGCGCTGAGCGGCAGAAGCACAGTCATATGAAACACTAACGTGAAGAGAACATCTCTAAAACACACACACTGCCCGTCTGAAACAACACTGAAATATCATTGGTTGAGAGGTTTCGAAGGTCCCGCCCACTTACAGAACCGACCGATAGCAGCAGAGGAAACTAACATGAGCAGCAGGAGCCCTTTGACCAGAGGTGAAAAACTGAAGGCTGTTTCACAGCTGTAGCTCACACATACACACACACACAGGGGCGGACTGGCCATCTGGCAATTCTGGCAAATGCCAGAAGGCCCGGACGAATTTTTAAATGTGGGCCGGTCAGTTTTTTTTTTTTTTTTTTTTAGTATGTATTGTTTTTAAGTGCAGACAGCTTTTATCTCTTGCTAGATGTGATATTATGATGATGATAATAAAAACAATAATAATAAATGTTTATCATTTGGCCCAATCGGCAACTGTCAACTGGTTTCAAGATGGGCCGACCCAATCCAAGGTTACCCGGACATAATCAAAATCTGGCAAGAATGTCATATTATTTCACCATCTTTACACCAAAATAAATAGTTCATGTGCGTGTCCGTGGGTGGGGCTGTGTCGGTGTGGTAATGTGAGCTGGTGTGGCAACAGTGCCAGGGCTGAATTTTTGTCCCAGTCCGCCCCTGCACACACACACACACACACACACATGACTGTCTGTAGTGTTTATAATAAAGCATATGAAGGATCCGATCTCTGTGAATCCTGCAGGTCTGAATGCGAACACACTTCACACTACAGAAGCTAATTGTGTGTGTGTGTGTGCGCGCTGTCAAACACAGTACAGAATGTGACTGTAGTGTGTGTTCAAGTATCTATAGTGCCAAAGCTGTAGCGCAGACACACTCAACAGGCTAGTTTAACTGTCCACATGTTTATAGTAGGAACTTTAAAACACCGGCTTTAAGAAAGGAAACACCGTCGCCCTCTAGAGCTGCTACACACACTCTCACTCTTAGCCACACTCTCTCTCACACACACACACACTGGGTTTCATGTTTCATAGCTGTAATGATGTTTGTAGTGTAAAGACTGTACACTGTCCTCTACACCCTATCACAAACCTCACTCTCTCTTAGTCATACACACATTTCCACTCACACACATACCGTTTTCTTCATGGAGACCACAATAATGTCCCCACAAGGTTAAAAATGACTGGTATCACTATATTTGAAGGCACTCCCCATATATGATCTCCATAATGGAGTTAATACTGGGAACACACATACTCGCTCGCAATCATACACCTGTTCCCACTCACACTCACACTCATACCGTTTTCATCATGGGGACCAAAACAATGTCCCCATAAAGTTAAACATGACAGGTATTACTATACATGAGGGGGTCCCTATATATGATTGCTATATGTGGTTAACACCTGGTGCTTACACACACACCCTCAATCAAACACACATTCACACTCACACACACACACACCGTTTTCCTTATGGAGACCACAACAATGTCCCCATAAGGTTAAAAATGACTGGTATTACTATACTTGAGGGGGTCCCCATATATGATCGATATATGTGGTTAACACCTGGTGCACACACACACACACCCTCAATCATACACACATTCACAATCAAACACATGCCGTTTTCCTTATGGGGACCACAACAATGTCCCCATAAGGTTAAGAAAGACTGGTATTACTATACTTGAGGGGGTCCCCATATATGACCTCTATAATATAGTTATTAATGGGTGCACACACAGACACACACACACTCTCTCTTAATTATACACACGTTCTTACTTACACACATACTGTTTTCCTTATGGGGACCAAAATAATGTCCTCATAAGGTAGAAAATGACAGTTATTACTATACTCGAGGAGGTCCCCATATATGATCGCCATAATGTACTTAATACTGGGTGCGCACACACTCTTAATCATACAAACATTCATATCGTCTTCCTCGTGGGGACCACAATAATGTCCCCATAAGGTCAAAAATGACTGGTATTACTATATTTCAGGGAGTCACCATATATGATCTTTATAATAGAGTTAATACTGGGAACACACACACACTCGCTCGCAATCATACACACAATCCCACTCACACACATACCGTTTTCATCATGGAGACCAAAATAACGTCCCCATAAGGTTAAATATGAGAGGTATTACTATAATTGAGGGGGTTCCCAAATATGATATGTGGTTAACACCTGGTGCACACACACACAAAGACACACACACACACACACACCCATGATCATACACACATTCACACTCACACACATACTGTTTTCCTTATGGGGACCACAACAATGTCCCCATAAGGTAAAAAATGACTGGTATTACTATATTTGAGGGGGTCCCCATATATGATCTTTATAATGGAGTTAACACTGGGAACACACACTCAATCATACACACATTTCCACCCCCACACGTACAGTTTTCCTCATGGGGACCAAAAATAGTGTCCTTATAAGGTTAAAAATGACTGGTATTACTATACTTGAGGGGTACCCTTATATATGATCTCCATAGTGTAGTTAATACTAGGAATCTCTCTCAATCATACACACACTCCCACTTACACACATACCATTTTCCTAATGGGGTCCAAAATAATGTCTCCATAAGACATCACACTCACATACTGTTGAGTCTGCCTGGAATGATCAGTGTAGCGGTTCACAGACATGTCGTCCCGAGTCCGTCTCAATCCGTGTGTCTGTGTGTGTTTTTTTTACCTACAGCAGGTTAAATGTACGCAGGTAAATCTGTCTCTCAATCCACTCAGTGAAGTGCGTCACATTGGCGTAGACACCAGGGCCCAGGACCTTAGAGAAACACACGGAGCCCCAGGAGGTCAAACCGTACAGAGACCAGTGTCCATCGTCCTCCTCGCAGACCAGCGGACCGCCACTGTCACCCTGAACACATATAAACAGACAAACACGTGCACATTCATGATTAAGTATGGGACAATAGCCAGTTATCCATGCCTACTCATGATGCCACATGAACAAACAGACTTATGATTTTACATGAATGTGCGTACACACACACACACAGCCTCACTCACCATACAGGAGTCGATGGTTCCGGCCTCGTATCCAGCACAGAGCATGCGAGAGGTGATGGTCTTCATGTCAAAGTAAGACTGACACTGAGAAACAGAGATGATCCGCACCTCTCCCTCCTGGAGCTTAAACGGCACTGCAGGACAAGAGAACACAGAAACCACAGTCACTACTAACGGACTAGAGACTAACATTCATATACCACAAACTCACTATAGACTCACTACTGACATCACAGACTCAATTCTGATGTCAAAGGCTCACTACAGACTCACTATATACTCACTACTGTCACCACAGACTAAATACTGATGTTAAAGGCTCAATACAGACTCGCTACTGACATCACAGACTCACGACAGACTAACTACAGACTCACTTCAGACACCACAGACTCACTACTCACCCCACAGACTCAATACTGATGTCAAAGGCTCACTACAGACTCGCTACTGACACCAGAAACTCACAATAGACTAATTACAGACTTACTTTTACACCAAAGAATCACACTAGACTAAGTACAGGCTCACTTCGGACACCACAGACTTGCTACTGACACCCAAGACTCACGATAGACTAACTACAGACTCACTTCGGACACCACAGACTCACTACGGACACCACAGACTCAGAACTGATGTCAAAGGCTCACTACAGACACCACAGACTCCCTAAATACTCACTACTGACACCGAAGACTCAGGATGGACTAACTACAGACTCACTTCGGACCCTACAAACTCACTACAGACTCTTTACTGACACCACAGACTCAGGATAGACTAACTACAGACTCAGTTCAGACACCACAGACTCACTATAGACTCACTACTGACACCACAGACTCACTACTGATGTCAAAGGCTCATTACAAACACGCTAACAACTCAGACTCATAAGACTCATTAATGACACCACAGACTCAATACTGATGTCAAAGGCTCACTACAGACTTACTACTGACATCACAGACTCACGACGGACTAACTACAGACTCTCTACTGACATCACAGACTCATGACAGACTAACTACAGACTCACTACTGACATCACAGACTCACGACAGACTCATTTCAGACACCAAAGACTCAATACGGATGTCAAAGGCTCACTACAAACTCGATACTGACACCACAGACTCACGATAGACTAACTACAGACTCACTACTGACACCACAGACTCAATACTGATGTCAAAGGCTCACTACAGACTCGCTAGTGACACAACAGATCCACGATAGATTAACTACAGACACCACAGACTCAATACTGATGTCAAAGGCTCACTACAGACTCGCTACTGACATCACAGACTCACAACAGACTAACTACAGACTCACTACTGACACCAAAGACTCACTATAAACTCACTACTGACACCACAGACTCAATACTGATGTCAAAGGCTCACTACAGACTCGCTAGTGACGCAACAGATCCACGATAGACTAACTACTTACACCACAGACTCAATATTGACACCACAGACTCAATACTGATGCCAAAGGCTCACTACAGACTCACTACTGACATCACAGACTCACGACAGACTAACTACAGACTCATTTCAGACACCACAGACTCAATACGGATGTCAAAGGCTCACTACAAACTTGATACTGACACCACAGACTCATGATAGACTAACTACAGACTCACTACTGACACCACAGACTCACTACTGACACCACAGACTCAATACTGATGTCAAAGGCTCACTACAGACACCACAGACTCACTACTGATGCCAAACACTCACTACAGACACCACAGACTCCCTAAATACTCACTACTGACACCAAAGACTCAGGATGGACTAACTACAGACTCACTTCGGACCCTACAAACTCACTACAGACTCAGGATAGACTAACTACAGACTCAGTTCAGACACCACAGACTCACTACTGATGTCAAAGGCTCACTACAAACACGCTACTGACATAACAGATCTACGATAGACTAACTAAAGAATTACTTCGGACACCACAGACTCACTATAGACTCACTACTGACACCACAGACTCACTACTGATGTCAAAGGCTCACTACAGACACCACAGACTCACAATGGACAAACTACAGACTCACTACTGACACCACAGACTCACTATAGGCTCACTACTGACACCACAGACTCACTACTGATGTCAAAGGCTCACTACTGACACCACAGACTCACTGTAGAATTACCTAAAACAGTTATTAAAGAAAAAAAAGTGCCTGATCACCTTGTGCTCATATAAAAAGATTCTGTACTTATTTAATACTCTCTATTGATAACTAACTTCCACAAACAAACAGAATTTGCTTCAGTGTTGTGTCACTCACTGCGGTTTCCCACGTGTCCCCAGCCTGTGATGTGGCAGTATTTGTCAGGTTTTGGCAGCTGACCGTGCCGCGGCAAACACACAGGTCGCACGTAACTGGTCACCAGCACCTCAGACTCCAGTTCCAGTACACTGATGTCATAATCCACCACGGCACGATTGTAGCGCGAGTGAACGATGATGCTCTTGACTCGCCGCGTTTGCATGTATGGAGACGGATGATCCAGATTATTTATGCCCAGAACCACCTTCCACACATCAGCACTCTCACGCCTGCATACGGGGAAAAACACACTCTTAAAACACTTACATTTACTTATAAAGTGCTTGTTAGGGCACAGACTTGTTTAAAGCAGATCTACAGTATTATATACAGTTGAAGTCAGAATTATTCGCCCCCGTACATTATTTCCCCCAATTTCAGTTTAATGGAGAGCAGATTTCCTCAACACATTTCTAAACATAATAGTTTTCATAACTCATCTCTAATAACTGATTTATTTTATCTTCGCCATAATGACAGCACATAATATTAGACTAGATATTCTTCAAGACACTTCTATACAGCTTAAAGTGACATTTAAAGGCTTCACTAGGGTAATTAGGGTAAAGTTGGGGTAATTAGGCAAGTCATTGTATAACAGTGGTTTGTTCTGTGGACAATCCAACAGAAATATTGCTTAAGGGGGCTAATAATATTGACCTTAAAATGGCTTTAAAACTAATAAAAACTGCTTTTATTCCAGCCAAAATAAAACATAAGACTTTCTCCTGAAGAAAAAATATTATCAGACATACTGTGAAAAATTCCTGAATCTGATAAACATCATTCGGGAAATATTTTAAAAGGAAAAAACAATTCACAGGAGGCCGAATAATTCTGACTTCAACTGTATACAGCGGATACAGCCTTCCCTCTCCCCAGACACTTCCTTCAGCTCCTCTAAGGGCAATCCCGAGGCTTTCCCAGGCCAGCCGAGAAACATAGTCACTCCAGTGTGTCCTGGGTCTTCCCCGAGGCCTCCTTCATGCCTGGAACACCACCGTAGGTAGACAACCAAGAGGCATTCGAAACAGATGCCCGAGCTAGAGGTCTGCATTCCCGCGGCTGTGCTGCGGGCGCCGCAGGACCCGACCAGATTTCTGCGTGCGGGAATGAATTTCCGAATAAATCGCGGGAGCGGTCGGTAACGGGTTTAATTTGGGACGGGAGCGGGCTGTCTAGCAATATCGCGGATATTGTTATGTGAGAGAGAGAGAGAGAGAGAGAGAGAGAGAGATTTCCCAGATAGCAAAATACACTCGGGCCAGTTCCGTCTAGATTCTTGCCTGCCAGAGACTTACCACTCAGCCCGGCTCCGGCTGCCGGACTCCGGATGCTTGTGGACTCACTGCCCGAGAGTAATGTGCGCTGCGGCCGGAGCTGGCGCGACTCAGTATTTATATACCTTTATTTAAAACCTTTTGGTATTACATTGGTACTTGATACATGGTATTACAACCCTTTGAGTTGATATAACAGCAAATGCCTGTGTGTCTGCTTGGTGCTTGTGTGTGTGTTAGTGTGCGCGCGCGTATGAGAGAGAGAGAGAGATTTGTCTGTGTGTGTGTGTGTTTATACAGACAGCTTGGCTGTCTGGACTGTATAGCTGGGTGATTTTCGTTGTTGTTCTCCCCCCGCTCTTTAGCGGGATCGGGCGCGGCGGCCAGAAAACTTGGCGGGTCGGGCAGCGGGACAATAAATTCTTAATATAAGCGGGAGCAGTCGGGTTCGGGCTAAAACCTGGCGGGTGCGGGCGGGAGCGGGATTCAAAATGTAGTCCCGCGCAGATCTCTAGCCCGAGCCACCTCAGCTACCTTTTCTCTCTTATGGCCCGGAGTAGAACTCTGACAACCTCTCGGGTGTCAGAGCTCCTCATCATATCAATAAAGGTGCACCCTGCCACCCTGTGAAGGAAACTCATTTCTGCCGCTTGTATCCGTGATCTTGTACTTTCAGTCATGACCCAAAGCTCATGAGCATAGGTGAGAGTAGGAATGTAGATTGACCAGTAGACCTTTCGGCTCAGCTCCTCCTTTATCACAATGGACCAATACATCGACCGCATTACTGCTGCTGCTGCTGCACCAATCCGCCTGTCAATCTCACGCTCCATCCTTCCCTCACTCGTGAACAAAACCCCGAGATACTTAAACTTCACCTGGGGTAAGGACTTTCCTCCAACCTGGAGATGGCAAACCACCTTTTTCCGGTGGAGCACCATGGTCTCAGACTTTGAGGTGCTGATTCTCATCACAGCCGCATCACACTCTGCAGCAAACCGCCCCAGTGCATGCTGAAGGTCCATGTTCGATGAAGCCAACAGAACAACATCGTCTGCCAATAACAGAGATGAGATCCTGTTTTCCCCTAGCCGGACCCCCTCCAGCCCAAGACTGCGCTTTGAAATTTTGTCCATAAAAATTATGAACAGAATTGGTGACAAGGGGCAGCCCTGCCAGAGCCCAACATGCACTGGAAACAAGTTTGACTTATTGCCGGCAATGCGAACCAGACTCCTACTCTGTTCATACAGGGATGAGACGGCCCTCAAGAGAGCGCCTCTGACCCCATACTCCCCGAGCATCCTCCACAGAATGCCACGAGTGACACGATCAAATGCCTTCTCCAAGTCCACAAAGCACATGTGGACTGGTTGGGAATACTCTCGTGAACCCTCGAGCACCCTGTTGAGGGTATAGAGCTGGTCCAGTGTACCACAACCTGGACAAAAACCGAATTGTTACTCCTGACTCCAAGGTTCAACCATCGGCCGGATACTCCTCTCAAGTACCCTGGCATGGACTTCCCAAGGAGGCTGAGGAGTGTGATCCCCCTATAGTTGAAGCACACCCTCCGGTCCCCTTTCTTAAAAATGTCAGGAATTCGTTTTCCTATTCTCAATAAAACTAAAGGATTTAGAAATTTAACATTGTTTTCACCCCAATGCAATTTCATAGGACACTATGAAGGCTAAAGAACTTGATTCTTATCTTTGCTTATTTTTTGCAGCCTAGGTCTAAGCTTCTCACCATGTATTGTATCTTTCCTAAAACATATAGTGTAAAAGCATGTTTATTACGAACAAAACCAAAACAATTAAACAAAATTATATTTTAATTGAACACATGACATCACATAAGGTGCACACAACCATCCTATCTAGTATTGTGAATAGGCAAAGCTGAAAACCTATGGTTCAAGCGCCTTCCAGTGGTCAAAACCTGCAAGTGCACTTACTACCACCGCAGTAGCGGCAAGCACGGCAGCAGAGGGAACATATTGAAGTGCTAACGTGTGTGTGTGCGCGCGTCTCACCCCTCAAAGCAGTGAGCTACAGTAAGTGCCCACTTATTCCCGATGAGGACGCAGCCGCAGATGTGTCCGCTCGGGTCGCTCTGCAGAGAGCACTGCCATGGCCAGCGACCCGGACGGCTCGTTCGGCCTCCCAGAATTCTCTTCACCAACCGGGCAGCAGGGCGACGGCCACACTCTAAAGCACACAGTGGTAAACAGACGAAGAATAAACCTCATGGACAGCAGATGAGCATGTGTGTATGTGTTTGTGTGTGTAGGGATGGGCAGCGTTTATGATGCATGTATTTCAGATACATGATGGTAACCCTTGTGTGCTGTTGGGTCGTTTTCATCCACTCTGGGCTGATTTTGAGTCTTAATTTGGCCAAAACTTTCTCTGTTTCAGCAAATGGAATAATATTTGATGGCAAATCAGATTTTGACACATATTTTGAGAAAATGATTTAGAAAAGTTATATTTTTAATTTGAGCGAATTTGCTCTCCTTTGGTTATGTTGGGGGCTGTTTTTGCCCCAGTGACTTCCATTATAATAACATTCATTGATTGCAAAGTCATGACAGCAGATAATCATGCATTCTTGATTGTTGCTGGCACGTGGTTACAATGGAAGGTAATGGGGCAAAAACATAACCAAAGGGGAGTCAATTTAACCAATACACAAGGGCTAATGAATTTCAGTCACCTGTAAAAAGGACGTGCATGGACGTTTATTCACAATTAGCATCCCTACTGAAAAATCCAGCTTAAACCAGCCTTGGCTGGTTGGCTGGTTTTAGTTGGTTGACCAGCCTGGTTTTAGAGGGGTGTTGGCCATTTCCAGGCTGGTTTTCAGCCATTTACAGCCTGGTCTTAGCTGGTCAGGCTGAAAAATGACCAGCTTAATCCAGCTAAAACCAGCTTGACCAGCCTGGTTTAAGCTGGACATAGCTGGTTTTGGCTGGGCTCTCAGCCTGGCTAGGCTGGTCAAGCTGATTTTAGCTGGTCATCTCCCAGCCTGACCAGCTAAGACCAGGCTGGAAATGGCTGGAAACCAGCCTGGAAATGGCCAAAACCCCTCTAAAACCAGCCTGGTCAATCAGCTAAAACCAGCCAACCAGCCTAGGCTGGTTTAAGCTGGATTTTTCTACAGGGATAATACCAATCTATAACACAGAACTACAGTAAGTGAAATGGAGTATTCTGGACTCCCTACTAAGTATTGACACTAGTATATTTCATAAATAAGACAGCCAGACAAAAAAAGACTTTTTTTATAGGTCCGCATCAAAATTCTGTAGCTAACAGCTAACATTTTGAAAATACAAACTCTTCAGAGCATCAGAGCAGCTTTAACACATGTTTTACCCACACATTTACTGTTAATATTTATAGTGTGTGTGTGTGCATCAGTCATACACACCGTCTCTTGTACACTGCAGTGAGATCTTCTTGTATGATTGACAGCTCTGCCTGTAGACAGGAAATAATATGGATCAGTGTGTCATCTGACAGATTAAAAGTACAGTAACCAATTCCAAATACTCAAATTACTGTAACTGAGTGACTTAAATCAGGAATTGTACTTAGTACTTAGTACTCAGAGTCAGGGCCGGCGCATCCATAGAGGCGACCTAGGTGGCCGCCACCACCCGCGTCCTCAGATATATTCGCGCGTAGGCGACAGAATAGAGAGGGTGGCGTCAGCGACACCTCCATCAGCACCCGCGTATCCTCAGTCAAATCCGCGCATAGGGCGGCAGAATAGAGGTCCGCGACACCTCACTTCATTTTCATAACCGGTCTTTTTGTTTTCACATTGGGGTTGAGGGCGGCGTGATCGTCCTCTGCCTAGAGCGGCAGTTCTTGCTCCGGCCCTGGTCAGAGCGAATGTTTACTGCTGTATTTGTACTTTTATTGCACTATTTTCCTTCAACCTGCAGCCACTACTTTATATGTTTCTTTTTTTCTCGTCTACAGTGATTGGCTGATTTGAAAAATCAGTCATGTGAGTAGGCCTATCACGACTCACGATATAATTTTTTTGTTGTTGTATGACGATATTGCACTAAAATATATTGCGATAAACAATATTATTGTCATTTTAAGAGCATTGTATGCTACTCATTATAATATGCCAGAATGACAATATAATATCATCACGATGCAGGTGTACTCCTTTAAAGAACACATCACATTATATTCTTAAGAATATTTAATTTAATTATAGTCATTTTAACAGTTTAATAATCAGGCATTGGAGTCAGAATGTGTAAACTCATATCCTAAATAAATAATAATAAATGTTACAAGTGCAAGGTAAAGAGTAACAGAGGATGTAATATCTGCTACCAGATCTATTTTCAGCTGTCAGACACCCACATGAACATATACTATCGTAATTTACAGTAAACACTAGTATTTTTTAACAATACTGACACCTTTGTCTTCAAGGCTGGATTACTGTAATGCTCTATTTGCTGGCTGCCCAGCATCCTCTATTAACAAACTTCCGCTAATACAAAACGCAGCTGCCAGAGTTCTTACCAGGTCTAGAAAATATGATCATATCACCCCAATTTTATCCTCCTTACACTGGCAGCCTGATAAGTGTAAATTTAACTTTTTACCTATAAAGCTTTAAATAATGGAGCTCCTGTTTATCTAACCAACTTTCTGTCTTGCTACAATCCAACTCACTCTTTAAGATCTCAAAACTCAGGGCTTCTGGTAATACCCAGAATAGCAAAGTCTACTAAAGGAGGTCGAGCCTTCTCATTTATGGCTCCCAAACTCTGGAATAGCCTTCCTGATGATGTCCGAGGCTCAGACACACTCTCCTAATTCAAAACTATATTAAAGACCTATCTATTTAGTAAAGCATTGAATCAGTGCGTCATTAGCAGTATGACACATGAATGTGCTCCACGCAGGTTTCTTCATCTCGTTTATTCAATTCAATTCAGCTTTATTTGTATAGCGCTTTTACAATGTAGATTGTGTCAAAGCAGCTTCACATAAATGGTCATAGTAACTGTAACAGTGTGGTTCAGGTTTTAGTATTTAAGTTCAGTTCAGTTCAGTTTAGCTCAGTTCAGTGTGATTTAATCATTACTGAGAGTTCAAACACTGAAGAGCAAATTCATCGATGCGTAGCTCTACCAATCCTGAACCATGCGAGGTTTATCTACACTATGAACAGCAGCTACGCTAATTATTCTCTTCATTCTCAATTTACACCTGGGGATACTCATCCCGAGGCCCCCAGAGATTATGTAACACCACTAATGCGATCTAAGACCTGTGAAGAGATGATCCAAGGGTTTCCACAATCTTGGACCAGGCCGTAGCAGCTGCTGTGGTGGTCATGGAGGATTGGAGAACATGCGTCTAATTCCTGTGAGACACCATGGACAGACAAGTCTTCGCTGATGACCAGCCTCCAGCGGCTAGACTGCAGCTCTGCACAAGGCGTTTGGCCAGAGGAGAAATGGTCGTGGTCACCTGAGCCTGTTTTTTTTCCCGAGGCTTTTTATTCTTCACTTTCACCAATTGGTGAAGTTTGTTCCTCCACTGTGGCCACTGGCTTACATGGTTGAGCTGCGCATTGATGGGTTTGCTCTTCAGAGTTTGGACTCTCAGCAGTGAATATTAAAACAAACTGACCTAAACTGAACTTGAACTCTGAAAACTGAACTACACTATTTCAATTCACTATGATCTTCTACATGAAGCTGCTTTGACACAATCTCTATTGTAAAAGTGCAAAGGAAATAAAGATGAACTGAATTGACACCTCCAATAGAGATAGAGAGGTTGCGCAACCAGCTAAAATGTTTCTAAAATTGACATTTATTGCATCCCCAATTTCAACAAATTGATTAGGTCCCGACAACATCAAGTCTCCCATTAATGATGAGTAAACTTATTTATGAAATAATTTAATTGTTAACATATGCTATTATTATCTGCCAATCGTGGCGGCATGGTGGCTCAGTGGTTAGCACTGCCGCCTCACAGTAAGAAGGTCACTGGTTCGAGTCCCAGCTGGGTCAGTTGTCATTTCTGTTAGGAGTTTGCATGTTCTCCCCGTGTTGGCATGGATTTCCTCCGGGTGCTCTGATTTCCCCCACAGTCCAAACACATGCACTATAGGGGAATTGATGACCTAAATTGACTGTAATGTATGAGTGTGTGTGTGTATGAGTGTGCGTGCGTAAGTTGGTGCGTGTGTGAATGAGTGTGTATGGGTTGTTGCTGGAAGGGTATTCGTTGTGAAAAATATATGCTGAAATAGTTAGTGGTTCATTCCACTGTGGCGACCCTGATAAATAATGGACTAAGCTAAAGGAAAATGAATGAATTTCTATGGTTTTGTAATAAAATAAAATAAAATAAAATAAAATAAAATAAAATAAAATAAAATAAAATAAAATAAAATAAAATAAAATAAAATAAAATAAAATAAAAAAATAAAATAAAATAACATTTATTTTAATTTAATTTAATCTAATTTAATTTAATTTAATTTAATTTAATTTATTTAAATTTAATCTAATTTAATTTAATTTAATTTAAAATTTAGTTTGGCTTACCAGGTTTTCACATGATTTTTTTTTTAAATATTTTTTTAAAAAATGAAAAAAATTCAATCAAAATTTTGTTATTTTCCAAAAAAAAAAAAAAAAAAAACATATGTAGCCTATAATGAATGTCTATATATATTTTTTTTCTTTTCTATTGGGGCCACTTTAGTTTATTTTGGGTCACCAAAAACTAAAGAGTGTCTGTAGTAAGAGGGTCACTGGTTCGAGTCCCGGCTGGGTCAGTTGGCATATTGTTAGGAGTTTGCATGCTCTCCCTGTGTTGGCGTGGGTTTCCTCCGTGTGCTCCGGTTTCCCCCACAGTCCAAATATATATAAAAAAATAATAATAATAAAAAAATAAATTAAATTAGAATGAAATAAATTAAATAAATTTAATTAAATAGAATCAAATAAATAAAATAGAATAGAATAAAATAAAATAAATTAAATAAATAAGTAAATAAACAAATAAATAAATAAATAAAATAATATACATTTAGTTAGACCTACTATATATATATATATATATATATATATATATATATATATATATATATATATATATATATATATATATATATATTAGGTATATATATATTTTTGTTTTTTATTATTAAATCAAAATTTTGTTATTTAAAAAAAATATAAAAAAAATAAAACATATGTAGCCTATAATGAATGTCTATATTATTATTATTTTATTTTGTAAATATATGTATTTTCTATTATTTAGTAAATAGTGTCTTTTCTATTGGGGCCACTTTAAATTATTTTGGGTGTGTGCCTGTCTGAAGGGCTACCAGGGATTTCAAAGTTTTGCTAGCCCTGCATGGGGAAATTGTCTCACACCCAACCCAACACACATACATACACACACACACACTCACCCTCGTTTTTCCAGCAGGCCCTGTAGAGGAAGCATGTTCTCAGGACTCCAGTCTGGGTCCACATGTAACCAGCGTTTGCGTCTCACAACAGGAGATACATCCAACATTGCATCTGTGGAGAGAGGAGAACTACACATACACACACACACACACACACATAGAGAGAGAAAGAGAGAGAAAGAGAAACACACACATATGCCAGACGTTTGAACAACTGACTGGAAAATAGCTTGTGCAGGAGAGAGTTCTTTTGAGTGTATGAGCGCCATCAGCTGGACAGGAGTGTGTTATGATGCCCTCCTGTTATTTCCATTTCTGTTCTATTGCTGATCATGTGTTCTGTGTTTACACTAATGTAGCATGGACAAACAATATATAATGCATTTATTACAGTATTTAATTATGCTGCATGTTTTGTTCTCATTCATTGATATTCTTTTCAGCTAGGTCCCCTTATTGATCTGGGTTTGCCACAGCGGAATGAACCACCAACTTATCCAGCACATGTTTCACGCAGCGGATGCCTTTCCAGCTGCAACCCATCACTGGGAAACATCCATACACACTCATTCACACACATGCACTACGGACAATTTGGCTCACCCAAATCACCTCCAGCTTTGCACTGGTGGAAACCGGAAAAAACCCACGCGAACACAGGGAGAACATGCAAACTCCACACTGAAATGTCAACTGACCCAGCTGAGGCTTGAACCAGCAACCTTCTTGCTGTGAGGCGATCGTGCTACCCACTGCGCCACTGTGATGCCCTCATGTTTTGTTCTCTTGATTTAAAAAAAGTAAACAGAAAGTAGTTCCAGCAGGTTTTGCCCACATCACTGTTCCATATCACTACGCTGAATGACTAGATGGCTGTCAGTTATTGGCTGCAATCTGCTTAAGCGTTCAGAGGTTATAAATATGCTGATGACGCAGCACATGTGAACTGTGTGTCTGGTGTGCGTGTGTGTGTGTACTGACCTTACCCTAAACCCATCTGTGTGCATGTGACGCTGCTGTGGTTTGGGCTCCATCCATCCGCACACACATGATACTCCAAGCCGGCCTTATACACCAGCAGCGAGCCCTCATCAGACAGGGACACTGCAGACACACAGCACTATTACTGCTTCACACTGTGCAATGCATCTGTGCATGTCATTAAGAAAAATAAAATAGTTTGGTCTTGTGATCTGTCTGAGGTATTGGGCGGGGCTAACATACTTAACCACGCCCCTCCAGCTGACAGTTTTGACAGCAAGCAGAAATAGTGAGCAGGAGGAGTCTGTTTGCTTAATCGTTTTGGGTCATTTTTAAACTGAAAAGGTTACGCTCTGCAGCTTTTACATGTAAAGATCAGCAGGCTGAGTCTCTTACCGCAGTTCCACTCGTCTGAGCTGTCGGAGCAGTGTCTCCTGCCGTCACACCACAGCGCACGGTGAACACACTCATGATTATTACACTCCAGCTCATGACTGCTGCACGCCGCTGAAACACACATACACGAGTGAAAACACACACACACACAGAGACACTCATACACTTGAGGGTGAACACAAACACACACACAGACGTCGAAAGAGACATGCACACACAGACATAGAGACACACGGGCGAAAACACAAACAGAGACATACACATACACACACATAGAGAAAGACATATACACACAAGCATACATATAAACACAAACACGAGTGAACGCACACAGACATATACACAAACACACACAGACATATGAACATACACACACTCAAACACAGACAGACAAATGAACACATGAGTGAACACACACAGACATACACACACAGTCATTAGAACATACACACACAAACACACACAGATAGATTGACAGACAGACAGACAGACAGACAGACAGACCTACAGACAGACAGACAGACAACAGACAGACAGACAGACAGACAGACAGACAGACAGACGTACAAACAGACAGACAGACAGACGTACAGACAGACAGACGTACAGACAGACAGACAGACAGACGTACAGACAGACAGACGTACAGACAGACAGACAGACAGACAGATGTACAGACAGACGACAGACAGACAGACAGAGAGACAGACAGACAGACAAACAGACAGACAGACAGACAGACGTACAGACAGACGTACAGACATACAGACAGACGTACAGACAGACAGACAGACAGACAGACAGACTTACAGACAGACGTACAGACAGACAGACAGACAGACGTACAGACAGACACAGACACAGACGTACAGACAGACAGACAGACAGACGTACAGACAGACAGACAGACATACATACAGACAGACAGACATACAGACAGACGTACAGACAGACAGACATACAGACAGACAGACAGACGTACAGACAGACAGACAGACACACACACACACACACAGACAGACAGACGTACAGACAGACAGACGTGCAGACAGACGTACAGACAGATGACAGACAGACAGAAAGACAGACAGACGTACAGACAGACAGACAGACAGACGTACAGACAGACAGACAGAGAGACAGACAGACAGACGTACAGACAGACAGACGTACAGACAGACAGATGTACAGACGTACAGACAGACAGACAGATGTACAGACAGACGACAGACAGACAGACAGACGTACAGACAGACGACAGACAGAGAGACAGACAGACAGAGAGACAGACAGACAGACAGATGTACAGACAGACAGACAGACAGACAAACAGATGTACAGACAGACAGACAGACGTACAGACAGACAGACAGACGTACAAACAGACAGCCGTACAGACAGACAGACAGACAGACGTACAGACAGACAGACAGACAGACAGACGTACAGACAGACAGACAGACGTACAAACAGACAGACAGACAGACAGACAGACGTACAAACAGACAGACGTACAGACAGAAAGACAGACATACAGACAGACAGACAGACAGACGTACAGACAGAAAGACAGACATACAGACAGACATACAGACAGACAGATGTACAGACAGACAGACGTACAGACAGACGTACAGACAGACAGACAGACGTACAGACAGACAGACAGACAGACGTACAAACAGACGACAGACAGACAGACAGACAGACAGAGAGAGAGAGAGAGAGACGTACAGACAGACAGAGGTACAGACAGAAAGAAGTACAGACAGACAGACTTACAGACAGACAGACACACACACACACAGGTCACTCACAGCAGTTGTTCTCGTCCTCGTGTTGGCTGCAGTCTGGGAAGCCGTCACAGATCATGCTGTGAGGGATGCAGGATTTGTCTCCGGGACATTCCCACAAGCCCCGCTCCAAACACCCTAAACACAGACACACACACACCAGTCACAAAGGAACAAGGAAACAAAAAAGGAAAGTGGTTGTGTGTGTGTGTGTGTGTTTTAACTCACCGCACATTTCCTCGTCACTGTCGTCATCACAGTCTGTGTGTCCATCACAGCGTTTAGAGGAGAGGACGCATCTTCCAGAGCGACACTTAAAGTGACTGGGAGAACACTCTAAAACACAAACACACACACACACACACGCGCGCATGCGCACACACACACACATATCAACATAAAGTCTACATGTCCTCTGTGCAATAGCTAGGTTTCCATCAGCCTGTGTCAATTTGCATTTTGAAGTATCGGACAATAAAACTAGTGATGTAATCGCCAACATCCCTTAATTTGCAAATAAAAACCTGTCTCTTAAAGTGGTTTTGGGTGTCACTTTGGGGCAGTGGGTAGCACGTTCGCTTCACAGCAAGAAGGTCGCTGGTTCGAGCCCTGGCTGGGTCAGTTGGTGTTTCTGTGTGGAGTTTGCATGTTCTCCCCGTGTTGGCATGGGTCTCCTCTGGGTGCTCTGGTTTCCCCCACAATCCAAACACATGCGCTATAGGGGAATTGATGAACTAAATTTGCTGTAGTGTATGTGTGTGAATGCAAGAGTATGGGTGTTTTCCAGTGATGGGTTGCAGCTGGAAGGGCATCCGCTGGGTAAAACATATGCTGGATAAGTTGGCGGTTCATTCCGCTGTGGTGACACCAGATTAATAAAGGGATTAAGCGGAAAAGAAAATGAATGAATGAATGAGGGAGTTTTAAACTTGCGCTAAAAAGTTTTAATGCGAATAATAGGAGATAAAAACAGCTTTGCCAAATACACACTGACATAGCAGGATACAACATACCAACGCACCCAGTATTTTTTTACTTGATGGCTTCCCCCCGATCAGTTCAGTAAGTCTCACCTGTAAGAAAAAACACTGACATAGCGAACAAAACACCCATGTGACTCCATTATGCTTGCCTTGTTTATTGTTAGTTGCTAGGTTACCAATACTATAGTGAGCTGCTCTAACAACCGGATGGAAACAAATTTCTTTATTTGCGAACTTTGAGAAAACATACTCCACTTTAGGATGGAAGCCCAGCTAAGGAATGGAGTGGTAAGGTTTAATATACACACACTGAAGCACTCTAGACATTTAGCAAGGAAAGATCCATTAAGGAATGACTAACAATGAAAAGTTTAATTAATTAAAAATAAAGCACAAACAAGGTGGCGATGCATCCACAACACAAAGCATGTGTGCATTATTTATTCATTTTCTTTCGGCTTACATCCTTTGTTCATCAGGGGTCACCACAGCAGAATGAACCGCCAACTTATACAGCATATGTTTTACACAGCAGATGCCCTTTCAGCTGTAACCCAGTACTGGAAAACACTCATTTACCCTCATTCACAAACATACACTACTGCCAATTTAGTTCATCAATTCGTCTATAGCGCATGTGTTTGGACTGTGGGGAAAACCGGAGCACCTGGAGGAAACACATGCAAAACTCCACACACAAACACCAACTGACCCAGCCGGGACTCGAACCAGCGACCTTCTTGCTGTGAGCCCATGTGTGTATTATTTTATTATAATTAACAACTTCTTTAAAAAATAACTGCACACTATAGAATGTCCATCAGCCAATCAAAATTAAGCAATTCAACAGCCCTCCCCCATGGAATAAGTTATAGTGAATGAAATGCATGACAACATAATACCTAACCCCTCGTTGTAGTTAACTGTACTGACCATTCACATCCGGATCAGGAAGTAAGCAGGAACTGTTAGCTTGTCCTTCCTCCGGAAACTGAGCACAGTCTGTATCCTCAGGCCACTGCAATCCCACGATTCCAAGCACAGACTCACAGCGGTCCTTTGAATTCCTACACAGAGACCTGAAACACACAAACCACACAGTTAAGGCATGATAACTAGAAATAGTATAGCTTTTGCTTTTCTTGTTGCGTTTCCCCGTGTAACCAGCAGGTGTCCTCATTGTGTTGTTTCTAAAGCATTTAACCAGTGAATCCAGCTCGTGTAATCTAATCAGACAGTGAATTTAATAATCACAGTCAGCGTAGTGGAATTAAAAACAAAATGAATTATTTTCCCCAGCATTTCCAAAGAAAGAAACGCAAGGACACTGAAACTAGCACTGGATACCAGAGGAACGTTTATTTTTATACTTTAATTTGCTAGCCTGGCTTGCATAACTTTTCTTTCTCATTCCCTTTCCTGGTATAACTAATTGTTTCCAAGATAGTCGTTATCTGTGAATAATTTTTGCAAGTGTAACGGAGGCCAGCTAGTAAGTGCTGTGCAGGTAAACCTCACTCCTCTGACCTCTGAAGGTGCTCTATTACTAGATGCTAGAGGCAATGGTCTTTAGCCTCCTAGTTAGAGCAACCAACTCCTGTGCCGAAGGTCGCCGGTTCGATACTAGCTTGGAGTGGGTTGGGTGGCATAGGACCGACAGGGTTACACTGGTGCCGTGACCTGGATGGGAGTGAGGTTTAGGGGCTGAGTGTAACGGAGACCAGCTAGTAAGGGCTGTGCAGGTAAACCTCACTTCTCTGACCTCTAAAGGTGCTCTAGCGACAGATGCTAGAGGCCATGGTCTTTAGCCTCCTTGTAAGAGCAACCAACTCCCATGCAGAAGGTCGCCGGTTCGATCCCAGCTCGGAGCGGGTTGGGTGGGGTTACACAAAGAGGGTTTAACATCAAGCAGAACTTCACCAGAATTTCATCTGTAGCTCTAAATTGAACAAACCATTTATATTTCAATGCATTCTGACTGGCTGTCAGTGTTTTATTGTGTAACATGTTCTGAAAGTGAGTCCAATTATTTAATATCTCTATATCTTTATCATTATAGCTATGGTCTGAACTCTGTTGTTTTAAATTCAGAATGATTTCTTGCTATCTTTATAGTTATTGTGTTTGGTGTGAAGTTGTGAACAGCCCTATAATCAAGTTAGTTATATGAATAATCATTAATGTGCTCTAACAAACATGCTGACCTGCAGGGCGGCACTCTCTGCTGTGTCACAGGGTCACACATCGGCACCAACACCGTACACGCAAAGAACATGAGATATTTGTAGCAGTTGGTCTGAACGAGGGCAGGAAAGAGTGAGGACTCCCAGCTGACGGACGTCTCCTTCTGAGACTGGTGACCCAGATAGTTGGGAAAGCGGGTGGTGTTATAAGGCAGATTCATGCAGATCTCCAGAGAAATGGGCTCGCAGTCGCCTGGCAAACACAGACATCAAAGACCGTCATGACACACAAACAGTAAAATGTGTTCAATGCATGAAAGCTACTAAAACTCAAATGCGACACTAATCTAGAGCTAACCAGGGGAAACTCAGAACAAGGGCCTGTACTATGATGGTGGTTCAACAAACACTGGATTAGTTTTGAACTGACAAAACCCATCCAGTGCAGTCAGGTTTTGTTGGTACCAGGATTCAGATCACTAACTTTCTATTTTAACTCAAGCTTTGATCCTGAGTTCACAAGCAATCCTATTCTCATAGTAGATTGGTTTCTGATTTCTAAACCAGAACATAACCTGAACATAGCGTAAAAATAATCTGAACATAGCTATTAAAATAACCGTAACATAAATTCAACATATCTAAATACAGCTAGAACATTAACAGAGCATAACATGAGAATAGCTGGAAGAATACCTGAACAAATACAGATCATAGTTAGAATATAATCTAAACACAACCAGAACATAGTTAGTATAAAACCTAAAGATAACAAGAACATAGCTAAAACATAACTAGAACATAACCTAAAAATAACCACAACATAACCTGAACATAGCTAAAAATAACCAGAACATAACCTGAACATAGCTAAAACATTACCAGAACATAACAAAAGCATAACCAGAACATAACCTGAACGTAGCTAGAATATTACCAAAACATAACCTGAACATGGCTAGAACATTACCTGAACATATACAAAACATAGTTAGAATATAATCTGAACATAACCAGAACATAGTTAGAATATAACCTAAAGATAACCAAAACATAGCTAAAACATAACCAGAATACAACCTGAAAAGAACCAAAACATAACCTGAAAATAACCAGAACATAACCTGAACATAGCTAGAACACTACCAGAACACAGCAAAAACATAACCAGAACACAGCAAAAACATAACCAGAATATAACCTAAAAAAACAAAACATAACCTCAAAATAACCAGAACATAACCTGAACATAGCTAGAACACTACCAGAACACAGAAAAAAACATAACCAGAATATTACCAGAACATAACCCGGAACATAACCGGAAAATAGCTGGAACATTACCAGAAAATAACCTGAACATAGCTAGAACATTACCTGAACACATACAGAACATAGTTAGAAATTAACCTAAACATAACCAGAACATAGTTAAAATAAAACTTAAAGATAACCAGAACATAGCTAAAATATAACCAGAACATAACCTGAACATAGCTAGAATATTACCAAAACATAACCTGAAGACGGTTAGAACATAACATAAACAACCGGAACATAGTTAAAATATAACCTGGAGATAACCGGAATAGAGTTTAAAGATAATCTGAACATAACCTGAACATAGCTAGAACATTACCAGAACATATCAAGAACATAACCTGAACATAGCTCGAACATTACCTGAACATATCAAGAACATAACCTGAACATAGCTCGAACATTACCTGAACATAACATGAGCACAGTTAGAAAATTACCTGAACATGGCCTAAACATAACTAGAACATAACCTGAACATAACCTGAACACAGCTAGAGCATAACCTGAAAATAACCTGTCCCAGAAAAGGTTAACCATGGTAAGTTTCCATGGCAACAAAGAGCGAATGATGCAGAGTTACCTTCTAGGTTGCTAAATCCTACTGTGAACTAAACTGAAACTTAACGAGCTAGCCAGATTATCCGGCTATGTGGTACAGGCCCCATGTCAGTTGTTTCGCTCACTGCAGTTGTTGCCGGCGGTGCGCAGGTCACATGATGTGTTTCCAGGACAGCAGGAGGTGGAAGAACAGCCGGATTGGCCAGAAGGACACAAACCCTGGACTAAGAGATAGAGAAAAGTGAGCATAGCGTGTATGCAATGATTCATTCATTCATTTTCTTTTCAGCCTTTATTAATCAGGAGTCACCACAGCAGAATGAACCACCAACTTATGCAGCATATGTTTTACGCAGCGGATGCCCTTCCAGCTGCAACCCATCTCTGGTAAACACCCATACACTCTCATTCACACTCATACACTACGGAAAATTTAGCTGATCCAATTCCCCTATACGGAATGTGTTTGGACTGTGGGGGACACCACCCGGAGGAAACCAACGCCAACACAGGGAGAACATGCCCACAGAAATGCCAACAGTTTGCAATAATACTGTGCTAAAATGTTTAAACCCCTATTACTTGAAGGCTGATTTATACTTCTGCGTCAAGCGCACGCGTATGCTACGGCGCAGCCTATGTGTTGATGCATACACACATAGGGCTCTATTTTGACGGTCCATGTGCAGAGCGCAAAACGCAGGGCGCAAACGCTTTCAGGGCATGTCAGGATGCGTTTTTGCTAATTTAAGGACGGGAAATCTGCCTTGCGCTTCGGCGCATGGTCTAAAAGGGTTGAGTTTATTTTCTTAATGAGTTATAGGTGTGTTTTGAGAATAAACCAATCAGAGTCTCATCTCACACTCACTTTAAGAGTCAGCTGCGTAGCGCCAAGAGTGCATTCGCTTCTTACAGGACGCAAAGTAAGTCTAATTGGAAAAAATTAGCATTTTACTAGCAGACAGTTAACAGAAAACTGTTAAACAGAGCATCTACTGCGTGACAATGAGAGATAATGGACCTACTTTCACTTTCGCTCTTGGATAGGGAAACCTTTACGCACAGACATCAATTAGTCTATAAATAAATACTTTTGTTTGTTAAGCGCAAATATTCGTTTCAAAACTATTTCTAAATTCAGTTCTAATTTCCAGCAAACGAATAAATGAACAATAATAATGAAGTGTGCTCAAAAACCTGAGTTATATCCTAAAACACATGCTGTGCCCCATATTGTCTAAAACCTGACAGGTGGACAAATCTAAGCTTGTTTTTAATAAAACAAATATAAATATGGATATAATAAATAATACTGCTAATAATAATAACATTATACAGAAGCAAATTGTTATGAATGAACTGAAAAAGCCTCCTGAGATGAAGAAGACATAAAAGCAGTGATTTTTCATATTTATGTAGGCTAGAAAGTAATATGTTTTGTAATATTTTTATCCTTTATATTTATATTCTATATCTATTCTTATTATATCCTATACATATCCTTAATATTTAATTTTTTTCATATGTAAAGATATTTGCCTATTGCTCTCTTGTGTGTATTAAGCAGTGTGTAAGCGAGGTGCAACTCTGCGCTGGAGTTTAGACCGGGTTAGTTTTGGTCTATTGAAAAATCTATTATAGTTTCTCAAAATAGCAACGCACCAGCGGTCCACCTCAGAACACCTTCCTTTTCAGACCAGAACGCCTATGGGTGCACATATGAGCGCTAATGCATTTGCTATTTAAACAGCGTAGCGCAACATCTCAAAACCACTCTTGCGCCAAGCTTAAACTACCAAAAGACTATTGCACCGCGCCTTGCGCCACACTGCGCCGGGTGTATGATAGGGTCCTAAATGTGTGTGTGTACTCACTGTGCTGCTGTGTGCAGTTCTCTTCATCGCTGCCATCTTTACAGTCATCTTCACCATCGCATCGAAAGGCACTGGGAATACACTGCTTGTTCTTACACTCCACTAAACCCTGGGACTTACACGCTACAAACACAAACACAAACACACGTGTTAGGGTGCTGCATACATTACTGCAGAGTGTAGCTGCAAATATGGTTTAGCAAATGCATCATTGATGATAACATATATTTTTTAAATGGCTGCACGAGCTGACACTCAGATGAAGCCTATTAAAAGCAGTTAGAATACGTCTATAAGTCATAAGTTGTGAAAAGAAAAATTAGCCCTGTATGTGTTTGGGTTTTTATATTGAAACCCCAAATATTTCATACTCTTTGTTTGTCTAATGCTGGACTTATCTAAACAAATTGAACTGAAGCAGTTTCAATTTAACAATCTATCAAACATTTACTCTCTTTTCTTCATCTATGTTAAGCTGCTTTGACCCAATCTACATAGAAATAAGAATAAAGCACTATAGAAGTAAATATGAATTGAACTAAAGGTACAGTGTGTAGCTTGTGGCCACTAGAGGGGGTGAATTCACAACAAACAAAGGTGTGTTAAGAAATGAGTGCAAATTGTCAAAGGGAATGCATTTAATGCCGAATTCAGACTGCATGATTTAGTAGTCGTGTCACAGATGTTTTCACACTGCTTGACTATCTGGGCTAGCGTTTTGTCGCTGCTTTGTTTACACGGCAAGATGGATCGGCGATAGGGGCTTTCACATTGCATGTCTTTACAATAGGAAGAATCGCTGACAACTTCGTCCAAACTATGTCTCGCAGCCAAAAACACGTCGTATATCTTTTGTTATTAGTGACATAACGAGAAAGAAGAATTTAATGAGCAATTTCTCTTCAACTTTCTTTTTGAACTTTCTGTATGAAACGTCAAACTGACTCGGGTGCTCCTGTCAAACCTCCACTAGTTTTTCCTCCATTGCTTGGGTCCAAATAAACCAAAAACGAGTGCTATTAACTTCTCCCTCAACCTCCTGCTGGCCTGCAGGTACACACAATAGAGAATGCTGCTCTCTCATTGGCTGTAGGCGATGGCTGATGTTATTTTCAGTCAAAACTCATTTCACACGGCATGATTTAAATCGCCGACAGCTCCAGATATTCAGCACGCCAAATATCTCACAGGCATCGGCGACTCATCTGCGATTCTCTCAGATCGCGTCTTTGATAGTTCACACTGTGTGACCGTCACACGATTTGCTTGTGATTTTAGGCATTTGTCTGCAATTTCTCAAAATCTGTTGACGAATCAAAATCAGGGCTAAAATCACGCAGTCTGAACTCGGCATAAATGTAATTTGGGGTTAAGGGCAGTGCTTGATTTGAGCCGGATCTTGCCAGATCCTGTTCTGGAAAATGTAGTCACCATGCGCAAGTTAAAGCAAAAGTTATGTTAAACTATTGGCCCTCAACAATATTTGTTTAGCCAATCGATTTTCTTACGTTTTGTGCAAATGAATAATGGTGTAGTGGCCTGCCTAAATAATGTTTGTATTCATAAAATGGCAAAGAGGCATACATATTTTCATTTTTTAAAACCATGAGTAAATCTGATAATGAGCCTGATCAAAAGAGATCTCGAGAAGATGAAACTGTGCAAATGGATCAGGGTAGCGGGAGACAGAAGCAAAGCGATCTCAGGTCAGCCAGAAAGCATGGCGGAGGAGCTAACTGTGGGCTCTTTCTGTAGATTAGACTAGGTGCGTCAATTACCACAGCCATATCACCCTGCAGCCCAAGACCGGTTACTCACTGAAGCTAAGCAGGGCTGAGCCTGGTTAGTAACTGGATGGGAGACCACTAGGGAACACTTAGTTGCTGTTGGAAGTGGTGTTAGTGAGGCCAGCAGGGGGCGCTCAACCTGTGGTCTGTGTGAGTCCTAATGCCCCAGTAAAAGTGAAGGGGACACTACACTGTCAGTGGGCGCCGTCTTTCGGATGAGACGTTAAACCGAGGTCCTGACTCTCTGTGGTCATTAAAAATCCCATGGCACTTCTCGTGAAAGAGCAGGGGTGTAACCCCGGTGTCCTTGCCCAAGTCCCTCTATCGGCCCTTATGATCATATCCTCCCAATCATCCCCTTCCACCGAATTGGCTCTATCACTGTCCTCCACTCCACCTATAGCTGGTGTGTGGTGAGCGCACTGGCGCCGTTGTCCTGTGGCTGCCGTCGCATCATCCAAGTGGATGCTGCACACTGGTGGTGGTGTGGAGAGACCCCCCTCATGATTGTGAAGCGCTTTGGGTGTATGGCCGTACACAATAAATGCGCTATATAAATACACATTACATTACATTACATTACATTACAATTAATTTTTTTTTTCACTTGGCACATGATAGTGAAGTGAACTAAATAGTGATTGTTGATACGATTTATGTTTGTAGCTACATATTTTTATTGTCTATGACTGACCTATAATGTTTCATGGCACAAAATAACTAGATGTTTGGAAATTTGATGCTCTTTTTTGTGATGCTCTATCATTTAATGACATCATGTTCTGGGAAAACTGAAATTGTGTGGTGGACGTCGGTCACGGTTTATTTTTTGGTTTTGTTCCGAGAAAAGTGGTTTGCCATCTCCAGGTTGGAGGAAAGTCCTTACCCCAGGTGGAGGAGTTCAAGTATCTCAGGGTTTTGTTCGCATGTGAGGGAAGGATGAAACATGAGATTGACAGGCGGATTGGTGCAGCAACAGCAGTAATGCAGTCGATGTACGGATCCGTTGCGGTGAAGAAGGAGCTGAGCCGAAAGGCAAAGCTCTCGATTTACCGGTCAATCTACATTCCTACTTTCACCTATGCTCATGAGCTTTGGGTCATGACCGAAAGGACAAGATCTCGGATGCAAGCAGCCGAAATGAGTTTCCTTCGAAGGGTGGCAGGGCATCCTCTTATGGATAGGGTGAGAAGCTCTGACACCCGGGAGAAGCTCAGAGTAGAGCCGCTGCTCCTCCACATCGAGAGAAGTCAGCTGAGGTGGCTCAGGCATCTGTTTCGGATGCCTCCTGGACGCATACCCAGGGAGGTGTTCTAGGCATGTCCCACCGGGAGGAGGCCTCAGGGAAGACCCAGGACACACTGGAGGGACTATGTCTCTCGGCTGGCCTGGGAACGCCTTGGAATCCCCCCAGAGGAGCTGGAGGAAGTGTCTGGGGAGAGGGAAGTCTGGGGTTCTCTCCTAAGACTACTGCCCCCGTGACCCGGCCCCAGGAAAAGCGGCAGAAAATGAATGAATGAATGTTCCGAGAATGATTTATTTATAAATTAAGCACTGGCTAAAGGGATAAGATCTTACTAAGCTGACTACATTTCAGACATAATATTCAGCATTTTTTTCTTTGTTTTGCCAATGAAAAAAGTCCAGTAAAAGCTGGAGAAGAATCTAAATTAAATTTGAGTCAGTGCTTCATTCATAAAAACAGCCAACTACTTTGTTTCTAACTAAATCAGCTGTTTAGAAAAAATCATTTATGTGAATAATTCAATGACTCTCTAAAACGGAAAGGGATTTGCACCACCTGCTGGCAGTTTTACAGCCATATTGACAGGCCAGAACTAGCAGAACTCACAGCTAGAATTTAATTATCCCAATCACATAATTAAGTGTGAGTAGGCCTGGTTGTGTCTGTGTGTGTCTCACAGCAGTTGAGCTCGTCGCTCTTGTCCAGACAGTCATGATCTCCGTCACAGAGCCACTCTCGAGGAATACAGCGTCCATCCCCACAGTGGTGCTCTTCAAGCTCATCACACACTGCAGCACAGCAAAACATACATTCATTTAGGGGTCATTGACATATCGCAAATTTTGTATGCGCAAGTTTGTTATTTCCAATAGTGTCGCATGGCTTGTGTGTGCAAATAGCTAGTGATGCGTAATCAGTGCAATTTTCTTGAGTTTTCCAGGCACTTCCAGTTGAAAACATTTCAACACCATGTCATGTGACTAGAACTAACAAATCTACTAATCAATGTGTTTAGAAATGAGCGCAAATTGTCAAAATGACTGTATTTAAAGGGAATTTAGAGTGTGTTTTTATGTCATTTGATATGTAAATAAAATTAATTCTTTAACTGCTTGAGAACATGCATTTGGGTTTATCCAATCAATGAGACATATCGCCATTTACACATGGCATTAATATACTAAACTGAACTAAAGCGGTTTTAATTTATCAATGTGAAGTGTTATGGGTTTTACTTTGTTTTCTTCATCTACGTTTAGCTGCTTTGACACAATCTACATTGTAAAAAGCGCTATAAAAATAAAGATGAACTGGGTTCAAGTAAAGGCAAAGTATGCAACTTTTGGCCACTAGAGGGCGTGCATTCACAACAAACAAAAGTGTGTTTAGAAATGAGCTCGAATTGTCAAAATGACAATATTTAAATGCAATTTGGTGGGTGTTTTTATGCCAACTGACTTGTAATAAAATGAATTATTTACATCTATTATTTTTAATCCAATCAAAGAAGACACATCACCGTTTACAAATTACATTATACTGAAATGAACTGAAGCAGTTTCAGTTCAACAATTTAAAATGTTATGGCTTTCATTGTCTTTTCTTCATCTACATTTAACTGCTTTGACACAATCTACATTGTAAAAAGCGCTATAGAAATAAAAATATATTGAATTAATGGTACAGTATGTAACTTGTGGCCACTAGAGGGCGTGTATTAACAACAAACACAGGTGTGTCTAGAAATGAGAGCAAATTGAAATGAATGCATTTAAAGGGAATTTGGAGTGTGTTTTTATGCCACTTGACTTGCATTCGTATACAAAACTGAACTGAAGCAGTTTCAGTTTATGGATTTGAAATGTTATGGCTTTTACTCATTTCTTCATTTACGTTTAGCTGCTTTGACACAATTTACATCGTAAAAAGCGCAACAGAAATAAAGATGAACTGAGTTAAAGGCACAGTATGCAGTTTGTGGCCACTAGAGGGCGTGTATTCACAACAAACAAAGGTGTGACTGTATCTAAACACAATTTGGAGTGTGTTTTTATGCCAATTGACTTCAATCAAAGGAAACACATCGCCGTTTACATGTGGGATTATTATACTGAAATGAACTGAAGCAGTTTCAGTCTAACATTCTGAAATGTTATAACTTTTATTCTCTTGCATTTAGCTGCTTTGACACAGTCTGCATTGTAAAAAGCTCTATAGAAATAAAAATTAATTGAATTGAAGGTACAGTATGTAACTTGTGGCCACTAGAGGGCGCGTATTCACAACAAACACAGGTGTGTTTAGAAATGAGAATAAATTGTCAAAATGAATGAATTTAAAGGGAATTTGGAGTGTGTGTTTATGCCACTTGAATCATAATAAATTCTTTATATGTATTTTATTTAGTCCAATCAAAGGAAACACATCGCAGTTTACACATAGCATTATTATGCAAAACTGAACTGAAGCAGTTTCAGTTTATGGATTTGAAATGTTATGGCTTTTACTCTTTTCTTTATTTAAGTTAAGCTGCTTTGACACAATCTACATCGTAAAAAGTGCAACAGAAAAAAATATGAACTTAATTAAAGGCAGGATATGCAGTTTGTGGCCACTAGAGTGCGTGTATTCACAACAAACAAAGGTGTGTTTAGAAATGAGAGCAAATTGTCAAAATGAATGCATTTAAAGGGAATTTGGAGTGTGTTTTTATGCCATTTGATTTGTAATAAAATTAATTTTTTATATGCTTTTGTTAAGTTCAATCAAAGAAGACACATCGCCGTTTACACATAGCATTAGTATACAAAACTGAACAGATGCAGTTTCAGTTTATCAATTTGAAATGTTATGGCTTTTACTTATTTCTTTAACTACGTTTAGCTGCTTTGACAATCTACATCGTAAAAAATGCTACAGAAACAAAGATGAATTAAATTAAAGGCACAGTATGCCATTTGTGGCCACTAGAGGGCGTGTATTCACAACAAACAAAGGTGTGACTGTATCTAAATGCAATCTGAAGTGTGTTTTTATGCCATTTGACTTGTAATAAATAAATACATTTAATTTACAATGAAAAAAGCATTTTGTATGGTTCTGCAATTAGGATAGTGTATTTAATGCCACTAATACCATTATAAATCCTGTCCATTTCCATATTTTGTATGTAAACAATACTTTGCATAACATCTTACTTCATAAACCAATCTCAATTCAGTTGTGAAACTCACCACAGTTTTGCTCATCGCTCAGATCACCACAGTCATCGTAGCCGTCGCAGAGAAGATCGGAATTAATGCAGCGGCCGGTGCCACACAAATGCTGAGTGTCTGCACAAGCTGGACAAGAAGAAGAAAAATCCCATTCAATCCTTCACATTTATTGATATGAAACACACTGAAATGCTTTAAGGCGTTGTGTGTGGCAAGCTTCTTTGGTCATTAAATTTTTAATGCATAATTGTGAAAACACTTATGTTATACACTTAAGTTGTCTCCATTACAAATCCATGAACGGCAAATCAACCTGCTGTGGCTGCTTTAATATGGCAGGAAATTAAATATAAAAGAAATGATTTGACTAGAGGATTGACATAACTAAGCAAACAGAACAATCTGAACTGCTAAATGAAGAAGCAGTAGGGCTGGGCGATTTGGCCTGAAATCAAAATCTTAGTTAACTGAACATTTTACCTAATTATGATTAATGAGCGATTATTTATTTATTTGTTTGTTTTTGCACTCATAGTTCACTGACAAGTTTTGTACAGTACATAGCTCACATATTACAAGTGTGAGATTTCTGAACGAAGGGTGCATTACTTTTAAAATAAATGAAGGAAACAGACTATCTACTATCTATGATTAATTATTAAACATCAACACTGAACAACCAAAATTAAAATACACATTTCCTAAAACCAACAGTCACTTCTTTCTTATAAAAAACTGAAAGTATTTACAGTTAAAAGCTGAAGTTTACATACACTGTATAAAAAGGCACATAACCATTTAAAAAAAGTCTGATGTTAATGCGACTAAACTTTTTCTCTTTTAGGGTAAGTTAGGATTGTCAAATGTGTTTCTGTTCTGCTTAATAGCAGAATAATGAGAGATATATTGGTTGAGAAATTGTTATACCTTTTCTAGAAAGTCAGGTTCACTGACAATAAGATTATTACACCTCTGAAAAAGCTCAGATGATGGTGTCAAGGTTTTTGGAAGTTTCTGATTGGCTAATTGACAACTTGTGAGCTAATTGGAGGTACAACTTTAGGGTAAACCTCAAACACACTGCTTCCTTGTGTGACAACACGGTTAAATCATCAAGCCAAAATAAACTAAAAAGCCAGAATACAATTTGCTAAATCACACTGGGAAAAAGACCCAGCATAATGTTGTGGGGCTGTTTTGCTGCAGAAGGGACTGGTCCACTTCACAGCATAGATGGCATCATGAAGAAAGAACATTATGGAGAAACACTGAAGCAACATCTCAAGACATCAGCCAGGAAATTAAAACTTGGCCACAAATGGCTCTTCCAAACAGACCATGACCCTAAACATACTGCCAAATTAGTTCAAATGTGCTTTAAGGCAAACAGAGTGAATGTTTTGGAGTGGCCATCACAAAGCCCTGATCTCAATCCTATAGAAAATGTGTGGGCAGAGTTGAAAAAGCTTGTGCGAGCAAGACAGCCTACAAATCTGACTCAGTTACACCAATTCTGTGAGGAGGAATGGGCCAAAATTACTGCAAACTATTGTGAGAAGCTTGTGGAAGGAGACCCAAAACATTTGACCAAAGCTATACAGTTTAAAAGCAAAGTTGTAAGAAAAAACAAGGAAATGTGTGTAAACTTTTGACTGTCTAGAAATGAATGAAAAATTCTCCAAAAAAAAATAAAAATTCTCTCATTATTCTGGCATTTAGCAAATGTAAATCATTTAGGTAACCCTAAAGGACTTAAAATAGTAAACGTTTAGTGTGATTTACCATCAGACATTTTAAAAAAATGGTTATGTTCCTTTTTTTAGAGTGTATGTATATTTCTGGTTTTAACTGTACACATTTGGAAACAAAATAAATTATTCCTATTAATATTTTGATATTCATATTTTCATATTAAACATATAAAATAAGTCAAAAAGAAGTTTCTTTTTAAAATAAAATAACTCTTGTATATCCTGTAAATAATGTTTTAATCAGTGCATTTCTTGCATCTTGTGTAAACAGATATTTTAATGTAAATAATAATTTTAATGTAATGTAAAATCTCAAAGCATCTCTGGTGCAGCTTCCAATAAGCATCAACATAGTGCAAAGTCTCAAGAATGGGTCCATCGTCCTAACCAGAGATCAGATGTGGCTGCAAAGTGGCTGCAAAAATATAAATACCCTGAGCTGGCAAAAGCAGTAATTATACCAATTATTATTCATATTATATATAAAATTGCCCATTAAAATGTATTTTATTATTGTCTATCCCCAGCACAATCCTAAACAAAAAAACCTAACAGCAATGTAGAAATATCAATTATTGTTGTACAGAGTCACAAAAATGATGCTATTTCAATGTGAGTATCTGCAGCTGTATCCCTTCTAGCATTTACCCTGGAGATGCAGCCACTTACTGCAATCAGCCTCGTCGCTCCAGTCGTCACAGTCGTTGTATCCATTGCACACTAGTTTCAGGGGGACACATATTCCAGTCGCACACAGGAAGTGATCGTTTCCTCCACATACGGCTTAAGACAGAGACAAAACAAGACAACCGGTCAGGACATCTTTCCTAACCACTTGTGAAGACGCACACGTTTGCAGACTCACAGAGTTTTCCTCGCGCGTGTTTGGGTGTGTAGCAGAGCGCTGTGTTCTCCACTGCTGTCCCGCTGTTATTGCTGAACTGAGAGCAGCGCAGGAACTCTGGCCAGGAGGCATTGAACATCTGTAGCACCGGCTCACAGCCCTCACGAGCTGCTTCACAGAACGATTGACATGGCAGAACCAGAGTCCTGCAACAACAGCAGACACACACACACGCACGCACGCACGCACGCACACACACACACACACACACACACAGTGAGACTTCACATAGTGACAAAGTGAGACCTCATCACAATGGTTGTTTACGGTAGGTAACTGTCCCGTATCAGCTGGGACACAATGAGACAGCACTAGGCTAGTGTTTAACAGCAGATGGCGCTCTAGGATAGTGTTTAACAAAAGACCGTGCTCTAGGTTAGTGTTTTACAGCAGATGGCGCTTTAGGATAGTGTTTAAAGAAGACGGTGCTCTACGTTAGTGTTTAACAGCAACCGGCACTCTAGGCTAGTGTTTAAAAGCAGATGGTGCTCTAGGCTAGTCTTTCACAACAGATGGCGCTCTAGGTTAGTGTTTAACAGCACTCTAGGCTAGTGTTTAACAGCAGATGACGCCCTAGGTTAATGTTTAACAGCAGATGGCGCTCTAGGTTAATGTTTTACAGCGCTCTAGGTTAGTGTTTAACAGCAGATGACGCTCTAGGTTAGTGTTTAACAGCACTCTAGGTTAGTGTGTAACAGCAGATGGCTCTTTAGGATAGCGTTTAATGGCAGAAGGTGCTTTAGGCTAGTCTTTCACAACAGATGGCGCTCTAGGTTAGTGTTTAACAGCACTCTAGGCTAGTGTTTAACAGCAGATGACGCCCTAGGTTAGTGTTTAACAGCAGATGGCGCTCTAGGTTAATGTTTTACAGCGCTCTAGGTTAGTGTTTAACAGCAGACGACGCTCTAGGTTAGTGTTTAACAGCACTCTAGGTTAGTGTGTAACAGCAGATGGCGCTCTAGGCTAGTGTTTAACAGCAGATGGCGCTCTAGGTTAGTGTTCAACAGCAGACGACGCTCTAGGTTAGTGTTTAACAGCACTCTAGGTTAGTGTTTAACAGCAGATGGTGTTGTAGGCTAGTGTTTAACAGCAGATGGTGTTCTAGGCTAGTGTTCAACAGCAGACGGCGCTCTAGGTTAGTGTTTAACAGCAGACAGCGCTCTAGGCTAGTGTTTAACAGCAGATGGCGCCCTAGATTAGTGTATAACAGCAGACGGTGATCTAGGTTAATGTTTAACAGCAGACAGCGCTCTAGGTTAGTGTTTAACAGCAATCTAGGTTAGTGTTTAACAGCGCTCTAGGTTAGTGTTTAACAGCACTCTAGGTTAGTTTTTAACAGTAGATGGCGCTCTAGGCTAGTGTTTAACAGCAGATGACGCCCTAGATTAGTGTTTAACAGCAGACGGTGATCTAGGTTAATAATTAACAGCATACGGCTCTCTAGGTTAGTGTTTAACAGCAATCTAGGTTAGTGTTTAACAGCAGATGGAGCTCTAGGTCATTGTTTAACAGCAGACGGCACTCTAGGTTAGTGTTTAACAGCGCTCTAGGTTAGTGTTTAACAGCAGATGTCGCTCTAGGTTAGTCTTTAACAGCGCTCTAGGTTAGTGTTTAACAGCAGATGGCGCTCTATGTTAGTGTTTAACAGTGCTCTAGGTTAGTGTTTAACAGCAGATGGCGCTCTAGGCTAGTGTTTAACAGCAGAAGGCTCTAGGCTAGTGTTTCACAGTGCTCTAGGTCAGTGTTTAACAACAGATGGCGCTCAAGGCTTGTGTTTAACAGCAGACGGCGCTCTAGGTTAGTGTTTAACAGCAGATGACGCTCTAGGTTAGTATTAAACAGCTTTCTAGGTTAGTGGTAACAGTAGACGGAGCTCTAGGTTAGTGTTTAACAGAATATTGCGGTCTAGGCTAGTGTTTAACAGCAGACAGTGCTCTAGGTTAGTGTTTAACAGCAGACGGCGCTCTAGGTTAGTGTTTAACAGCAGACGGCGCTTTAGGTTAGTATTAAACAGCATTCTAGGTTAGAGTTTAACAGTAGACTGAGCTCAAGGTTAGTGTTTAACAGCGCTCTAGGTTAGTGTTTAACAGCAGACAATGCTCTAGGTTATTGTTAAACAGCGCTCTAGGTTAGTGTTTAACAGCACTCTAGGTTAGTTTTTAACAGTAGATGGCGCTCTAGGTTAGTGTTTAACAGCAGATGACGCTCTAGGTTAGTATTAAACAGCTTTCTAGGTTAGTGGTAACAGTAGACGGAGCTCTAGGTTAGTGTTTAACAGAATATTGCGGTCTAGGCTAGTGTTTAACAGCAGACAGTGCTCTAGGTTAGTGTTTAACAGCAGACGGCGCTGTAGGTTAGTATTAAACAGCGTTCCAAGTTAGAGTTTAACAGTAGACTGAGCTCAAGGTTAGTGTTTAACAGCGCTCTAGGTTAGTGTTTAACAGCAGACAATGCTCTAGGTTATTGTTAAACAGCGCTCTAGGTTAGTGTTTAACAGCACTCTAGGTTAGTGTTTAACAGCAGATGGAGCTCTAGGCTAGTGTTTAACAGCAGATGACGCCCTAGATTAGTGTTTAACAGCAGACGGTGATCTAGGTTAATAATTAACAGCATACGGCGCTCTAGGTTAGTGTTTAACAGCAATCTAGGTTAGTGTTTAACAGCAGATGGAGCTCTAGGTCAATGTTTAACAGCAGATGGCACTCTAGGTTAGTGTTTAACAGCGCTCTAGGTTAGTGTTTAACAGCAGATGTCGCTCTAGGTTAGTGTTTAACAGCGCTCTAGGTTAGTGTTTAACAGCAGATGGCGCTCTATGTTAGTGTTTAACAGTGCTCTAGGTTAGTGTTTAACAGCAGATGGCGCTCTAGGCTAGTGTTTAACAGCAGAAGGCGCTCTAGGCTAGTGTTTCACAGTGCTCTAGGTCAGTGTTTAACAACAGATGGCGCTCAAGGCTTGTGTTTAACAGCAGAAGGCGCTCTAGGTTAGTATTTAACAGCAGATGACGCTCTAGGTTAGTATTAAACAGCTTTCTAGGTTAGTGGTAACAGTAGACGGAGCTCTAGGTTAGTGTTTAACAGAATATTGCGGTCTAGGCTAGTGTTTAACAGCAGACAGTGCTCTAGGTTAGTGTTTAACAGCAGACGGCGCTCTAGGTTAGTGTTTAACAGCAGACGGCGCTCTAGGTTAGTATTAAACAGCGTTCTAGGTTAGAGTTTAACAGTAGACTGAGCTCAAGGTTAGTGTTTAACAGCGCTCTAGGTTAGTGTTTAACAGCAGACAATGCTCTAGGTTATTGTTAAACAGCGCTCTAGGTTAGTGTTTAACAGTGCTCTAGGCTAGTGTTTAAAAGGAGACAGCGCTCTAGGTTAGTGTTTAACAGCAGACTGTGTTCTAGGTTAGTGTTTAACATCGCTCTAGGCTAGTGTTTAACAGCAGAAGATGCTCTAGGCTAGTGTTTCACAGACAGCTCTTTAGGCTAGTGTTTGAAGCAGATGTGCTCTAGGCTAACATCAGGTGGCGCTCTAGGTTAGTGTTTAACAGCAGACAGCGCTCTAGGCTAGTGTGTTTAACACTAGATGGCACTCTAGGCCAGGGGTCATCAAACTTGTTTCGAGAGGGCCGGTGTCCTGCAGATTTTAGCTTCAACCCTAATCAAACACACCTGAACCAGCTAATCAAGGTCTTGCTAGGTACACTTGAAACACCCAGACAGGTGTGTTGAGGCAAGTTGAAGCTAAACACTGCAGGGTCACCGGCCCTCCAGGACCAGGATTGGTGACCCCTGCTCTAGGCTACCACTTTATTGTGTGCTCCATTCCTATTTTGTTTTTGCCGATGTTATTTGCTACAGAAGCTGCAGCTTGGGTCACAGACCTGCCGTCTCTGTGGCTGATGCATTGTGGGAGTGCGATGGAGCATCCGAACAGCATGATGTGTCTGTAGCAGGACAGGCGGCTCAGGTAGCTGAAGAACTTAAGGAACATCTGCAGTTCGCTGCTCTTCACCACACTGCGGCCCACCATCACACCGCTCTGGTTGTACGGCAGCATGTTACACTGGCTCTCCGTGATGTCAGAGCAGATACCTATCAGAACAATACAGAGAAATATGACTGGAGGACGGATTGGATGAGAATTGTTTTCATTGGTCAGATGAAATGGAGTGCAGATTGATCCTATAATGATAATCAGAATATGAAATCATCAGATGTACAGAAATCAGGACCAGAAATCAGTTGTGTTGAGGACGAAAGTGGAAAACGGGGTGCAGGGGGGGTTAAGGGTTTCATTGTGGACGAAATTGAAGAGCGGGGGGATTGTTGAAGATGGAATAGAAAAGCACGGGGGGCTCTAGGTTAGTGTTTAACAGAGCTTTAGGTTAGTTTTTAACAGCAGATGGCGCTCTCGGTCAGTGTTTAACAGCAGACGGCGCTCTAGGTTAGTGTTTAACAGCAGACGGTGCTCTAGGTTAGTGTATAACAGCAGATGGCGCTCTAGGTCAGTGTTTAACAGCAGACGGCGCTCTAGGTTAGTGTTTAACAGCGCTCTAGGTCAGTGTTTAACTGCAGACAACGCTCTAGGTTAGTGTTTAACAGTGCTCTAGGTTGGTGTTTAAAAGCAGATGGCGCTCTAGGTTAGTGTATAACAGCAGATGGCGCTCTAGGTCAGTGTTTAACAGCAGACGGCGCTCTAGGTTAGTGTTTAACAGCAGACGGTGCTCTAGGTTAGTGTATAACAGCAGATGGCGCTCTAGGTCAGTGTTTAACAGCAGACGGCGCTCTAGGTTAGTGTTTAACAGCACTCTAGGTTAGTGTTTAACAGCAGACGGCGCTCTAGGTCAGTGTTTAACAGCGCTCTAGGTTAGTGTTTAACAGCAGACAGCTCTTTAGGTTAGTGTATAACAGCAGACGGCGCTCTAGGTCAGTGTTTAACAGCAGATGGCGCTCTAGGTTAGTGTTTAACAGCGCACTAGGTTAGTGTTTAACAGCAGACAGCGCTTTAGGTTAGTGTATAACAGCAGATGACGCTCTAGGTCAGTGTTTAACAGCAGATGGCGCTCTAGGTTAGTGTTTAACAGCGCTCTAGGTTAGTGTTTAACAGCAGACTGTGTTCTAGGTTAGTGTTTAACATCGCTCTAGGCTAGTGTTTAACAGCAGAAGATGCTCTAGGCTAGTGTTTCACAGACAGCTCTTTAGGCTAGTGTTTGAAGCAGATGTGTCCCAAAATGTGTGGGCCCTTAGAATCGTCCTAACTTCCCCCAACCCCCCTAGTGGCGCCCCTGTGTGTAAGACTTAGTATGTGTACGTGTGTGATTATGTGTGCGAGTGTGTGTGTGTGAGTGAATGAACGAGAGTGAGTGTGTTTGTGAGAGTAACTGGGAGAATCTGTGTGTGAGAGAGAATATGTGTGAATGAATGAGAGAGTGTGTATGAGAGACAGTGTGTGTGTGAGCATAAGTGAGAATATGAGAGTGTGTTTGTGAGTAATGTGATATGAGCTTGTGTGTGTGCATGTATGATGACTGAGTCCAAGTAAGTGTGTTTGAGCATGACTGTGTGTGTGTGTGTTTGTGTGTATTGTATGAGTGTGAGTATGTAACGTAAACTGAGCCTGTGTAAGGTGGATGTGTGTGAGAAAATCTGTGAGTTAGTGTGTGTGTGTGTGTGTGTGTGATGGAGTTTGAGCGATTGTAAGTGTATGTGTATGAAAGTTTGAAAGTGTGTGTTTGCATGTGTGAGTGAGTGAGCAGAACTATATGTTTGTGTTTGAGAATGAGTGTGAGTATGTGTGTGCGTGTGAGCATAAATGAATGAGCCAGTGATTGTGTAAGTGAGCATGAGTGAGTGAATTAGAGACTGTGTATGCATTTGCGTGTGTGTGTGTGTGTGTGTGTGTGTGTGAGAGAGAGAGAGAGTTTGAGAGAGTGAGAGTTTAAGATCTGAGAGTCACTGAATGTAATTGTGATTCTAGTGCACAAGTCAAAGTCAGAAAGACAAGAGGAACACACACACACACACACACACACACACACACACACACACACACACACACACACACACACACACACACACACAGCTGAGCATAGAGTATTAATCATTAGACTGTTTGCAGAAGACAGAGAGAAATAATAGTGTCCTGTAGAGGTCAACACAAGAGGACACACTCACAGATGATGCTTGGGACAGAACCTTCACTGAGGACAAACACACACACACACACACACACACACACACACACACACACACACACACACACACACACACGCGCAGAGAGAGAGAGAGAGAGAGAGAGAGAGAGAGAGAGAGAGAGAGAGAGAGAGAGAGAGAGAGAGAGAGAGAGAGAGAGAGAGAGAGAGAGAGATCTGTGGTAAATTAGATTAGCAGCTGGTCTGTAGAGGACAAAAGAGAGCAGATATTTGACATAAAAGGGCTGAAGAGAGACAGAAGGATGAAGCAGACCACAGAATATAAAGAGAACATGTTGGGTTTAAAGGAACAGTTCACCAAAAAATTACCTCAAGCCACCAAATGTAGATTACTGTCTTCAGAATATCAAAACAATTCACTTCCTCCCTACAGTCCTAATAGGCACAGTTTATGTTTCATTCATTCATTCATTCATTCCTTCCTTCCTTCCTTCCTTCATTCATTCATTCTCCTTTGGATGAGTTCCTTATTCATCAGGGGTCACCACAACGAAATGAACTACCAACTATTCCAGCATATGATTTACACAGCGGATGCTCTTCAAGCTGCAACCCATTACTGGGAAACACCCATTCACACTTAATTACACACGCACACACACACACACACACATACACTACGGCCAGTTTAGTTAATCAATTCCCTTATAGTGCATGTGTTTGAACTGTGGGGGAAACCAGAGAAAGCCCATGCCAACACGGGGAGAACATACAAACTCTACACAGAAACGCCAACTGGCCCAGCCGGGACTCGAACAAGTAAACTTCATGCTGTGAGGCCACAGTGTTTACACGGATGTAACTGTTACAATGGTGGTGATGCTGACAACGGAAGTGCGTATCCAAATGCAGGTTTATTAAAAAGGGCAGGTAAGCAATTGTCAACACAGGGGCAAACAGATGTGTAAGGGCAACCCAGAGTCAAAATACACAGGCAGATGGTACTTTTTGACTGTTTGGTGCCATCTAGTGCCTGAATAATGCGCAGGTTAGTGTATAATCCATCAGCTGTTTAGGTCAGCTTTTGTTTATGACTGCTTAGCGCCATCTAGTGTCTGTATAATGCGCAGGTTAGTGTATACTCCATCAGCTCTTTTATTTTCTGTCAGCTTTGTGTTTTTGACTGTTTGGCTCCATCTAGTGTCTGTATAATGTGCAGGTTAGTGTATACTCCATCAGCTGATTATGTCAGCTTTGTGTTTTTGACTGTTTGGCGCCATCTAGTGTCTGAATAATGCGCATGTTAGTGTATACTCAATCAGCTGATTAGGTCAGCGTTATATTTTTGACTGTTTGGCGCCATCTAGTGTCTGAATAATGCGCAGGTTAGTGTATACTCCATCAGCTGTTTTAGTTTCTGTCAGCTTTGTGTTTTTGACTGTTTGGCGCCTTCTAGTGTCTGAATAATCTGCAGGTTAGTGTATACTCCATCAGCTGTTTTAGTTTCTGTCAGCTTTGTGTTTTGACTATTTGGCGCCATGTAGTGTCTGTATAATGCGCAGGTTAGTGTTTACTCCATCAGCTGTTTCTGTCAGCTTTGTGTTTTTGACTGTTTGGCGCCATCTAGTGTCTGAATAATGCGCAGGTTAGTGTATACTCCATCAGCTGATTAGGTCAGCATTGTGTTTTTGACTTTTGGCGCCATCTAGTGTCTAATATTTACAGCTCATAACAATGTTTTATTTCAAAAAAATTTTATTTTCTGGCGAGTTCATTCGGTGATAACCCCCTGGATGTACTTTATCCCTAAGATAACACATCAACACGCTCAAACCAACACAAAATATTAAATCAGCTATTCAGAATCGTACCAGGCTCGGCATTCAGACTGGTCACCGTGGATGTGGATGTCCACCAGTCCACAGAAACAGCAGTGGGACTTGCGGATGGAGACGTGTCGGCGCGGGGCATCCAGAGAGTCGAGTCCCACTGCAGAGGAGCGTCCGTCGGCACCGCCACTGTCCCATTATCAGCAGTCATCAGGCGGGAGTCACTGTCGTTAAAGGCCGGCGGAGGGAGCGTCGCTATGGAGACAAAAGCTCCGGCATCTAGCAGGCCATTATTCCCAAACAGACCTGGACAAACACGCAAAACAATAAAGAGGCAAGGAAAAGAAATAAATCTGTAAGACAGGGATCTGCTGTTTAAGAGACGTGTGGGACACAACGGCACAGTGTAAATATATAAACTGCAACAGCTGCACTGGAGAGGATATTTATAGACACACACACACACACACACACATTTACAGTTGTAGTCAGAATGATTAGCCCTTACTAAAAGAAGATTTTCAGCACATTTCTAATCAAAATAGTTGTAATAACTCATTTCTAATAACTAGTTTCTTTTCTCTTTGACATTTTGACAGCACATCATATTCTTCAAGACACTAGTATTCAGCCTAAAAGTGACATGTAAAGGCTAAACTAGGTTAACTAGGGTAAAGTTAGCAAGTCATTGTATAACAGTGGTTTGTTCTTGAGACAATGCAAAACTAATATTGCTTATGGGGGCTAATAATATTGACCTTAAAATTGGTTTAAAACAATTAAAAACTGCTTTTATTCCAGCCTAAATGAAACAAATAAGACTTTCCCCAGAAGAAAAAATATTAGAGGAAATACTGTGAAAATTTCCTGAATCTGTTCAACATCATTTGGAAAATATCTGAAAACGAATAATTTTGACTCCAACTGTATATACAGATTGAGTGTGCAACACACACTCACAACATCTGTTAATGCATTCAATCCGCTAACAGTCTCATATGAATCACCCAGCAGCTTATTTTTATATCGTCTGCTTCTGCTTGGTCTGTGAAGATGACGATCACCGTCTGCAGCTGTTGATCATGATGTTCCCGCACTGAATCTGTAGACTTTTTGTTTGCTATTTTTGTGCAACATTTTGTAAAAACATGATCAGGCTTAATCGGAATGATTGTGAGAGTTTAAGAGCTGGAAATCTAATGCATAAAATAAAAACTATGACTATAACTTTTATTTAAAGTGTACAATCAAAGTCCAATTAGAACTGCTTGTTTGGTAAACTAGACTACAGCAGGTCTCTCATATAATACATCCACTCAAACACAGGTAATATGACTTTATAAATTGCATTGTACACAAATAATCTAACAATTAGCATAATATTCAACAATAACAATGAAATCAATATAAAAACTGATATAATGTATAATGGAAATTGGGATTTTCTTTGATGTTTGTTGGGATAAGATAATTGGATAATATAATAATAAGATACATATAAGATATGATATACTTTATATATTATATTAGTTTATATACACAATAAGACAATATAATACATATATTTAATATAAGGGTTAGATAATATAAATATTGAGAATATTGCCTTTAAAGCTCTATAAACAAAGTGTTTAGTAAAGCATATCACTAATCTAACAAGTTTGACATATTTACATTATAAATCATACAATGTAATGTAAATCATACGATGCAATGTAATCATGCATCCTGATCTTTACTTGATATTCTAATGATTTTGGCATTTAAAAAAATAATAATAATTTTGACCCATGCTATACATTTGGGCTATTGATATATATATATATATATATATATATATATATATATATATATATATATATATATATATATATATATATATATATATATATATATATATATATATATATATTTTTTTTTTTTCTAATCATAATAGTTTTAATAACTCATCTCTAATAACTGATTTATTTTCGCCATAATAACAGTAATTAATATTTGACTAGATATTCTTCAAGACACTTCTATACAGCTTAAAGTGACATTTAAAGGCTTTACTAGGTTAATTAGGTTAACTAGGCAGGTTAGGCTAACTAGGCAACTTATTGTATAATGATGGTTTGTTCTGTAGACCAGGCGTGTCCAAACTACGGACCGCGGGCCATCTGCGGCCCGCAATCAGTTTTGTGGCGGCCCGCGAGGCTTTTTATAAATATCAATAGAATCTGGCCCGCTATACAAAAATGAACGTAATTCAATAAATAACCACCGGGTGTCGCTATTACATGCATTCAATTAAGCAGCAGTTCTTGTTATGATCTGTCTATCTGTCTATCTGTCTATCTATCTATCTATCTATCTATCTGTCTATCTATCTGTCTGTCTGTCTGTCTGTCTGTCTACACACATCTACACACAGTTGAAGTCTGAATTATTAGCCCCTCTTTGATTTATTTAAATATTTCCCAAATGATGTTTAACAGAGCAAGGACATTTTTACAGTATGTCTGATAATATTTTTTCTTTTGGAGAAAGACTTTTGTTTTATTTCGGCTAGAATAAAAAGCGGTTTAAATTTTTTTATGAACCATTTTAAGGTCAAAATTATTAGCCCCTTAAGTGTTCAGAACAAACCATTGTTATAAAATAACTTGCCTAATTACCTTAACTAGTTAACTTGATTAACCTAGTGAAGCCTTTTAATGTAACTTTAAGCTGTATAGAAGTGTCTTGAAAAATATCTAGTCAAATATTATTTACTGTCATCATGGCAAAGATAAAATAAATCAGTTATTAGAAATGAGTTACTAAAACTATTATGTTTAGAAATTTGTGGAAAAAAATCTTCTCTCCATTAAACAGAAATTGTGGAAAAAATAAACGGGGGCTAAAAATTTAGGGGGGCCAAAAATTCTGACTTCAACTGTATATATATATATATATATATACACACACGTGTCTGTGTGATGTATGTAAAATTTGGCCCGCGACAACGTTTGTTTTTTTTTGCATCTGGCCCTCGGCCCAAAAAGTTTGGACACCCCTGCTGTAGACTATCGAAAAAAATATATAGCTTAAAGGGGCTAATAATATTGACCTTAAATGGGTGTATAAAAAATTTAAAACTGCTTTTATTCTAGCTGAAATAAAACAAATAAGAGTTTTTCCAGAAGAAAAAAATATTATCAGACATACTGTAAAAATTTCCTTGCTCTGTTAAACATCATTTCGAAAATATTTTAAAAAGAAAACAAAATTTAAAGGGGGTGTATACTCCATCAGCTGTTTTAGTTTCTGTCATCTTTGTGTTTATGACTGTTTGTCGCCATCTAGTGTCTGAATAATGCGCAGGTTAGTGTATACTCCATCAGCTGTTTTAGTTTCTGTCATCTTTGTGTTTATGACTGTTTGTCGCCATCTAGTGTCTGAATAATGTGCAGGTTAGTGTATACTCCATCAGCTGTTTTCATTTCTGTGAGCTTTGTGTTTTGACAGTTTGGCGCCATCTAGTGTCTGAATAATGTGCAGGTTAGTGTATACTCCATCAGCTGTTTTAGTTTCTGTCAGCTTTGTGTTTTGACAGTTTGGCGCCATCTAGTGTCTGAATAATGCGCAGGTTAGTGTATACTCCATCAGCTGTTTTAGATTCTGTCAGCTTTGTGTTTATGACTGTTTGGCGCCATCTAGTGTCTGAATAATGCGCAGGTTAGTGTATACTCCATCAGCTGTTTTAGATTCTGTCAGCTTTGTGTTTATGACTGTTTGGCGCCATCTAGTGCCTGAATAATGCACAGGTTAGTGTATACTCCAGTTATGTCAACAATTATGGCTCAGAAAAATGTTTTATTTCCAAATTTTTCTATTTTGTGGCGAGTTCGTTCTGTGATAACCTCCTGGATGTACTTTATCCCTAGGATAATACTTCGACAAGCTCAAACAAAGACAGATTATTAAGTCAGCTACTTCACAATCAAACCAGGCTCTGCGGTCAGACTGGTCACAGTGGATGTGGACGTCCACCAGTCCACAGAAACAGCGGTGGGACCTGCAGATGGAGACGTGCCTGGGTATGAAGACTGATGAAAATGCTTCATGCCAGGTGTGTGGCCAGTTAGTGGCTATGTTTCCATCAACCCATTTTTATGCACATTTTAGGTTAAAAACCGCCTTGTTTCCAGCTCTCCATTGTTGCAGATCAGAAATGTAAACACACCGCTAGTGTTGACATTAAAGCATGTGATGTTACCGTTTCCTTAATATGAGTGTGTGTTGGAGACTTCAGAGCTGTGACGCTGCAAAAACAGCCTCAGTGACACAGCAGGACGTCCCGGACAGGATGGGTGTCTCGCTTTCACAGCTCTGATCACGTCCCACCAAAGAGACTCTCCGGCCAATAAACAAAGGGGGAGGAGAGGAGACGGAGACACAGAGGACGAGTGCGGGCGGGATAATGGTGGGAAGAGAGTTATTCAGACGTCTGTCCAGACTCTGACCTTTTGACCTTGTGCTGCTCTAAAGCGGCGAGGTTTTATGAGGAGCAGATACACAACTAGGGGGAGATGCATCTGAACGCAATGCATACACGCACACACGCACACACACACACTCGCTATGCATGAGCACACATACACATCCACGCACACTTGAACATTCTCTCATTCATACACTGCATGCACACACATACATGTACAAAAACATGCATGCACATACACAGACACACACACTTCCACAGACATAGACGCACAGATGCATATACACACACGCACATTCACTGGCACATTTTCTTACTCATACACTTATGAACATACACACAAGCACACACACACTCACTTTGACAAACACACACACAAGCTTGCACGCACATGCTTTCACTCATAGACACACACAAACTCACACACGCATGCACGCACTTGCGCTCACACACATACAAGCAAACACACACACACACGCACATTCTCTCACTCGTACACTCATGCACACACACGCATGCACACACATACATGTACACGCAAGCGCACAAACATATACAGACACACTGTTTCACACACTCATACAAACACACGCACGCACACACACGCGAATGCGCACACACACATATATGTATACACACACAGTCTTACACATCAGCTCACTCATACACACATGCAAGCCCACACATGCATGCATGCACTTGCACACACACACACTCTCACTCGCACTTTCTCTCACACATACATTCATCCACATGTACACACACCCACACACACATACGTGCAGACACAAGCATGCATACATACATACACACACACACACACACACACACACACACA